GTTATTTCTGTGAAGTGCTGGACAACAAATTCTATAACATCGGCACCATTTGCCCGATGCTGACCAATCTGACTTTATTGCTCTTTAAAATATGTCCAAGCGTCAATACCAAACCAAGATCAAAAACACTATTCCAACCGATTTTTGAGGGGGAGTGCAAAAGAAGAACGAGACTTACGTGTAATATGTCATGCGAGTAGCAAGACTCAACTAAAATTGGAAGTTTCCAGGATACCTTAAAATCATCGAAAAGTTGAAGATCATTAGACTTTCCAAAAAGATAAAGTTAATAGTTAAAATAATATGACTCTAGATGACATTTTAAACTATAGCATAGCCAGGATTTTCCTAAGGGGGGGAGGGGGAGGGAAATTAAAAAATTACTGGGGGTTACCTTAGTCTATATATAGTGATAAATATTTTACAAGATAGCAGGTTAATTTTAATAAAAAAAATAAACCTGTAACAAATATGAAATATATTTTTATTAGTATATATATATAAAATATAATAAATTACTTGTATATACATTAATATAAAAGCATAGTAATAATTTATTCTAAACAAGTATAAGAAATTTATTTATATAAAGTAATAGACATATTGTTGATATTCCTCTATTATATAGAATTAGTCACAAAATACTAGGTAGAATTCCACTTTTACAGACATATTTGACAGTTAGAGAATATATTACTAATCAATGCTCTTGATAATAAAAACAGCAACAATTTGCATTCAATTATTAAACGCTATCTATTTATTTTAAATAAAAATGACATTTAAATTTAATCTTCATTTTATTCATTCCACAATGTCTTTAAAAGATATTTTCTGATGTCCTTATCAATATTTTATAGTTTTCTGTAAAATATATAATTCGCTATATTGGTAAAAAATACTTGATTTTCATATGATAATTGATAAAATTAGATATACTTAAAATCTACGACATATAATATTCCAATGTTTAAAAAAGTTTCAACGAATTGAAACTTATTCATCAGCCATCCTCTAAAATCAGACTTTTTCACCCTGATCTGTCGATAACATTGCGGCAGAAGCATACAAACGAGAATTAGGAGCGGTGCTGTTTCATATTTAAGGAGATGGTAAGAAAATGCCTATATCCTTCACCTTATGCTTACTGATAAAAGTAGAGATCGATTATACAAAAATAGAGGGTGAAGTTCTAGCAATAATTTACGCTATCAAACAATTCCAGCAGAATTTCATCGGGACTAAGTTTACGATAGTAATGCAACATCACAATATCGATGAGATTCCAAAAATGGAACATTGCAATGGAAGCTCATTGGCAAACTCAATATGTACCTGAATGTTTATCAAGACTTCCGTTAACAAACGATGATATAATTGTACACAATATAATATTAATTAAATATTATGCTCTATTTATGGTAAAATATTTTCTTATTGTAACAACTTTCTTTTATGTTAAATTAAAATACTACAACAACAAGTAAAACAATTTTATTTATTTTTTTAAATTAATACAAAATATTCTTTCGAACAATTGTATAAAATTTATAAATTCATTTTCCGTTTTCCTAAAAAGTATGTAAAATATTTTTTTATTTTGCATTCAGTATCTACAATACAATTTTTTTTGTTTTGTTCGTTTGAATGCTATATTAAATATAGACAAATATCGTTTCTTAGTTGTATTATTGCTTCTAAGATGGTTTATATTCTATCACATTTTACATTATCTACAAATTTTTATTAATTAATCATTAATTTTTATTTTAGAAAACTGATGACAAGGTAATGATAAAATTGAACATTTTTTTTGTCCCTTGATACAATATAATATTTAAATTTGTATTTAATTAGTGACATGTCAAAATTAATATATTTAAAAATTTGATTGTTGAAAATGTTGTAATTTTTAATATATTATGGAAGATTTATATAATATTTCTAATAAAAAAATGAGAAATATCTTTTCAACTCTTCTCTTAAAATTATTCATGATATTCAAAGCTAAGTATATATTTATGGCAAATAAATTAAATATAAGTATAATAAATTTCTATAGTATATATAAAAACAATTTCTAATTTTATTAAAATTAGCCTAAGATATTATATTTTATGTAAAATCAAAATTTCAAGCCCATCCCAAATGTTTTACTGGCCCCAGATTTTTAATGAAATAATATAGACAAGATAAATTGGTTTGAAACCTTCATTATATTACCTGGATTTACTTTCAAAATCTCTACTTAAAAATAAAATTAATTTCTTACCCAAAAGTTTAAAGAAAACTGATTTATTAGTATCACCAGGAACTATAAAATATTGGCATTTGTTTAAGAAAAAAATTTTTTTAAAAATTGATTTATTTTGAATCTTTCAAAACTATTTACCTTTTTTTTTCCATATTAATTATGGAGAGTTTAATTTATCAATTTTTATTTAATGTGTTTATATCTTAAAAATAAAAATGTTTAAATGCAAAATTTATTTTATCTCATATGAGCATATTATTTAAATGAATATATATTAAGACTAATATAATAAAAAAATATACATAAATAATCAATTCAAGATTCTGAAGAATATTTTTATTAAGTAAAGGAATATATAAATCATTGCTTAGATGATGCCCTTTTATTATTAAAAACGATAGTATTGATGCACAAAATTATTTTAAGCAAATAAATTTATTTAGAATTTTTTAATAAATGCTAGTTTAAATAAATATTTGAAAGAATGAAAAATGGGGGTATTTATATGGTGCCCTAAATGAGAACAAATAATAAAATGTTTAAATATTTTGTGCTCTTGTAATAAGAGTTTGTTTGAGAAAATGCTAACTCCCTATATATATGAGAAAAATTTTAAAAGAATCTTAACTGGAATTATGCATAGAAAGATGGTTCAAATTTTATTGCTATTTCCTAAGAACACTATTCAGCCATGTGATACAATTAACATATTTTCAAGATTCTGTTGTGAAATTTTATCTAGATAAATTTTATGGTTGGCAGTACTATACCCTAACCCTTATATCTGTCACTTTCAAATCTTGCATATAAATGTTAGTATTTCTCCTCATCTAATAACACTTATCTTTACTACATAGAACTAAGCTAAACAATTACACAGTACATGAGCTTGGTATTATGCCTGAACCACATAGTTCAGTAAAAACAATTCTGTTAGATTTTACAATGGAGTGAGTTTGCTGTCTAATAAAATTAGTATTCCTACTTGCAAAGAACAATTTAGCCCAAAAAGCCTGATATATCTATAAATTTTGTTTAACCCACTTGTCTAATGTTTAAAAATTATTTCAATGGCTCGTTTGGCTCTTTATTTTTTATTATACAAGTGCTGAAAAATATTAAAAATTGATTGGCCCATTAGTTAAATTTTTTTTAAACCCACCCAATGATGAAAATATTTTAGAAATCTGGGCATGTTCATCCAAGGTATGGGGATGGGCTAAAAACTCACCCATTGCATACTTATACCTTAATATATAATAAAATATTTTTGTTGTTAGTTAAATTAACCGCTACTGCAGTCTATGAGCATGGTATCAAGCCTTAGTTTGAAATGCAGTTTGATAATAGATTGGCAATGATATTTAAAGTAACTTAAATATTTATTTGTAATAGTTAAAAAAAAATTCCACTATTTTTTGTTATATTCAACAAGAAAAGAAATTATAAATATCTAACAAATTGCATAGCTATTGTTAAACATCTTGATTTAGGCAATTTTTAAAAACAGTTAACTCAAGATTTTATTCAAAGAATAATTACTCAAGTTTATTGATTTTGCTCACAGATGGCAAAAAAGTTTGGATATACTATTGGCATAATTTTAATAAGTAATATATTTAAAATCTTGATTCTCTTTTTAAAAATTAGCTAAATAGAGTTGCTTAACACTACATTCACTATTATACATTGCTAATATGAGATTATTAACTTCTGAAGAATAAGAAAAAATATTTAATCATTTGTAGATGGTTGGTTTTTTTAAAAAAATAAAAATAATTGATATTGTTTCAAAGATAGATGTTAAATTAATATAATATAAAGATCTGTTCATAGCAATATGAAATTTGTAAGAAAGTTATAATTGGCACAGTCCTAGAATGTAATAAGTTTGATGTCTAATAAAATTAATATTTCTTCTCATCTAATATAAACACTAACCCTTATCTTCATTGCATAACCCTAAGGTAATGTGGTCCAAGAGCTTGGTATTAGGCCTTAGCCAGAAGCTACCAAGTTAATGGATACTTATTGGTTGCATCATAGTTAAATATCTGCTAGATATAACTGAATGCAGTTAGTTTGAGGTCTAATAAAATTAAGTATTTCTTAGAATCAACATTGTATGCTTAAATTAACTGGCCTACATCAGACCTTACCATGAACCATGTAACAATAGATTTAGGTAACATCTAAACCGGACTCCACATATCTGCACTGTTATTTTTTTATAAAGATTTGTGTTAAAACAGTGCACACTGGCTACACATTATCATTAGCTAAATATTTTTAATGTGTGGAAAAAATAAATAATTTTTTTAAACTTTCTTTGTTCTTTAAATATTTTAAAAAATTATTATTTGGATATATATATCTGGTGTCTTTCTTGTCTGAGAGTTTGGATATATGGGGCAAACGTTATCAAATCTTATAAAACGCATTTGTGTAAATTTTTGTCAATTATAAACTTATCGATCTTTATATTTTAGATTGACTTAATTGTTGAAAAATATGTGAGCAAACAAATTTAATTTTGATATATAGATTCGGGCCGAATTCTATTTAAAATAATCGGGAAATTTGGCCCGATGTAGATCACTAATATAGATGTCGCCACCAAGAAATGAGTGTGAAATAATGACTATCATTGAAATGTTTGAGAATGTAACCTTGACAAAAGCCATATAAAACGCCCCTAAAAAATTCCAATAAATTTATTGATCACTGTAAAGACCTCCCCCTCATTACCAAAATCTTGAACAGTTATATAAATGTTAAATTTGTGATGTGTATATATTCTAATTAATTTATCAGAATCGAATTGTACGAATCACTATGTTTTATCCAATTATTTAATTTCATTTGCGAGCAGTTTCATAATTTTGAACAAACCAATCACACGTGTCTTTGATAGCTATTTTTTTTTTAAAAAAATGAAAAAAAATTAGTATGGAGTATAAATTTAACATGCTTCTATTTAGAGTAATATTTTTTTAAAGGTTTTAAAATTTGAAAAAAGCTTATAATTTAAGGGATCCAATAATTTGAACTTGATTCTCATACTCATTTTAATTTTGGCATATTTGTAAGAATAACAAAGAAACCTGAGATTAAAAATAGGATTTTTTAAAATGGTCATCTAAATAAACTCATTTCATATATTTTCTTCGATTAAACAATTTTTTTAAAAGAGATAATGAAGAATTTAACTATAATTATTTCATAAAACAAAACACTGTTCGATTTCTTATATTTTTGGGTTCTAATGAATAAAATTTTTCGGCTAATTTACCTATCTCATATCACTGGCATCCTAAAAATGGATTAAGATATTTTTTCTAAAATTGGAAGATTTCTTTAGGGAGTATCAATAAAAATATCGAGTAGTTAAAAAAATAACCTAAGAAAAATTTCTAGATAAGCTTCTGATAAAATGATTTGCTAGTTTGTATATAAGCTAGCTAGTGTATGAACTGGCTAAGCTTTTAGCTAAATTACAAAAGGGTAGATATATAACGTTGATCGTTTATATTAATTTGCATAACGTTCAAATTTTAGTTAAACGGCTCGATTTGAGCCGATTTTTAAAAAGGGTTTATTAATATTTTAGTCAGAAAAATATAGCTACGAGATTTCGCTAATAGATGTCCAAACCTTTGTGTCTCCTATGAGCAAAATCTTCAAGCTTGCGTAATATTTTTTAGGATAAAATATTGAGTTCGGCCAATTTTAAAAGGCTCAAATCAAATGGGTCCTATTGGACTTTAAATTTAGTCATTGTTAAGAGGATAGCGATATGACGGCGAACGCTATATATCATTGCCCTATTTTTTAAATACTATAAAGCGCGATTTTCAAGGCGAGTACGGACTGTACTCTTCTTTCTAAGAAAATCTAAAATACGGCACCCTCATCCACAATTAGTTAAATCTTGAGGTTTATCCATGAAAGGTTAATTATAAATAAAATATTTGATCAATTCTAATTTTAAAATTAATGTATTTAAAAAAACCTTTGTCGATAGGAGTGAATTGAAAATCAGGCAGAAGTTTCATCAATTTAAGATTACTTGCCGTTTTTTTGTATTGGCCATCCGATTTGCTGGTATCAAACTGAATAGCGAAAAAATATCACAAATAAATCAAACTTGATATTTAAAAGTTATATAGTTTTTTTTATCATTATTATATAGTAAAGCAATTATTTGTTAGGGAACTTAATGATACCCCACATTTGTCGTACACTACTTTCGTAATTACATCCTGGTAATTTGCACCTACTTTTTTGTCATTATACTTCGGCCAATGTGCAAATTGGTCTTTCCGAATTTGGCAAACTCTGTGTTGTACCTCTATGATACACTTTGGAATTTGTGACAGGTTAAAATCTCTCCGATATAATAGCCATCCATTAGCAAGCATCCTATCAAATATATGAAATGCGGCTCGTCCGCACCTAAATGGCAACATGAAAAAGCATGTCCTCCGAAGGAAATGATGTTCTTCATAAAATACGACTTATGCTGACGATCACATCAGTTATTATAAAAGAAATTACACTAGGAGAAAATCTATGTAAGATGAAACAAAACAACCCCCCCCCAACCTCCCAAAACCTAAAAGGTTAGATTTCACTAGTCGTTACCTTTTACTAGAGTAACAAGTAACGGGAACGTGTTTCTTTTTTTAGTAATGGTAATGCAAAATGTTATTTCAAATATTTTTAAAATATGGAAAAAACATTTTATTGTATCATAAAGTTACTTTTATTTATTTTTAAAATTATATAATTAATTTAAGTCGAATTTTTAATTCACATCAACCCAAATTCCTTCTAATTTTTATGATCTTCACTCAAGATAATTAATATTAAATCAATCAATATGTGTAAATTTTTATTCTTATAAATATTATAATTTTATAATGAATAAGATGCCAATTTTACATTTTTTACAGATGAGCAAAGACTGCCTTGGCTCCAATATGAAATTTTTTTCACACTAATAAAGAAAACTAAGGGTACAAAGTTTACACTTAGTAATTGTAAATTGTGTCTTAACTCAAATATTTTAAGCGAAATGATTGAATAAACAAAGGCATCCTCCAAACTGCACAGCCATTTTTAAGGATAAAATGGGATATATAATTAAACTGGTTATAACAAGATGGAACTCTTTCAATAACTCAGTGAAATTAATATAGTCTTATTGGGGACTGGCCACAAATTTGACAAATCTTTTGATAAATTCAAATTACAGAAATTTTCAGATAATGAAGTCGTTCATAGATGAATATGGCTAAATATATGATTTTATAGGTTATGGAATATGTTCCTAACGGCTCTTTTGATTTTAGAGAGAAAAAAAAATGCATTTGAACACTATTTATTAAAAATCAATTTTAAAATAATACATTGAACGTTAAAAGTAAAACATATATACGTAATTTAAAAATATCATGTAAACTATTTGTAAATATACTTTTTATATTTTAAAAGTGTTTATAGCGATCATTTTTTAGTAACGATATATTATATTTTAATAATATATTATATTTTAATAATATATTATATGTTGTAAATAGGATAACGTGATTTTATATGTTATACAATTTTAGATAATGGATTTACGTTGTATATAAAAAAAGAATATATATTATTTTTTATCAGTTAACATTTGTAAATAAAGAATCGTTTTTAAAATCTTATACTTAAATTAAATACTTTATATTGAGATAAATCCTGACGAATTCCTTCAATTCTAACGTACAAATCAAGCTAATATCCGCAATAAAGATTAATTATTAATTGGGGTAACGGTCATTTGGAAAAATAAAAAAAGTATTGACCAATACCAACAACGTAAATATGAGCTCTGCAGTGTATTTGCGATGATAAGTGAATACAATGAGGGGGTTTTCTGCCCATTCTACGGGAGGGCGCGGGCTTTCAAAAGATTTCAAACATTTAGCGAGTTAAAAAATATTTTAGTAACATTGGGTGAGTGAATTATAAATATTTTTGGTCGAAATAAACTAACTTCTTATTTAAAATCATTTTTTATTTTAAAATATTGCATATATTATATGTTTAATTAAAATAAATAGACAAAACCAACCATTAATTTTTAAATATTGGGCGGGCGGGTTGAGCAAAATTTAGGGCGAGCGAATTTTAAAAAAAAACCACGGGCGAGCAGGCGAGCGGGTTACATTTTTTTTAACAAAGGCGGGGGCACGGGGAAAATCCATCCATTGCAGAACTTTAGCGTGAATTTTGATAAATTTTCTAAAAAAAACCCCTAATTTTACTGCATTAAACAAACAATTTTTTATACTTTTATAAATTTATCGCATTGGGGATGAATTTTAAATAGGACTGTGCCAAATTTTTCTGTGATCCGATCCAATATTTTTCGATATTACTATAAAACCGATCCTAACCGATATTTAAATTTATTTTATTTACCACCTATCTTTCAATCAATATTACAAAAAAAAATAATATTTTCTATTCAAACTAATTTTCTCGAATTATTAAGTTATTTTGTGTTTGATTCTTAAAAAATTAATCATCTCATTTAAAATATGAGAAATATTTATAGCGGAATGTAGTATCAAAAACTTCTATCAAAATTTGAGCCAAAATATTATAAGCCTCGAAATTTGAATAATAGATGTCCAAACCTTTCTCCCAACTGTGAGTAAAATCTCCAAGCTTGAAGAATTTATTTCTAGCTAGAATCTTGAGTTAACAGTCTTTTTAAAATTGGCTAAATCAAAGATCCTTTTCATGTTGCACAGATATAACAAAAAAATACGATTTTTAGTTTCTGTAACATTACAAATAAATAGAATTTTGGTTCCCATTATGAATTTAATTTATTATTATTACAATTATGTATAAAATAAAAGACATTAACTAAATGTAGAATCATAATATAACCAAAAACATTATAAATATCGGATCGGATAAATTATTTTTTAAAGATCGGCTCGATCCGATATCTAATATTAGCACAGTCCTTATCTTAAATATAATTAAATCGAACTTAATTTTATTTTACAAGTCTATATTTAGCTTTAGACAGAAAAATAAAGTATTTAGGTGTATTTATATAGTTGAAGGGTGATTATTTGTACGAGGTAGAAATGAGAGTTCTTACGAATTATCATATTTAAATTATGATATTTAATTATTTTTTTTACAATAATCTTGTTTTGAAAATCCATGGATTTGGTGACCATATTAACTGCATCCTTGATCGAAATTTCATCTTTCGGGGAAACTTAAAATTAATAAAAATGAAGATATTTTACGATAAAACAAATTAATCGTAATTTTTTGCCATTTTCTATCTAAATATAAATAAAGGGACTTCCAAATATTTAAAAATAAGTAAATCCAAAATTAAAATGGGTGAAAACCAGTTTAAAAAAAAACATTTTACCTGACAATATTATAGGCTCAGTTTGTTCGTAGTTAAAGGTGACCCAAATAATGAGTTTTGCCAAATCGAGCGAATATATGAATTGCCTAAGAGGTTCTCCACTTCCCCACACAGTCAATGGTTCACCATTTTCTTATAATCATATTTTTATATTCATATATTTTTAAACATTAACCTAGCATAAGGTACAGTTCTAAAACCTTTGCTTAATAACATGACTCTGGTCCATAAATAAAAATATTATATAATATCGTGTTGTCCCCAATATATTCGGGCTTCGATTTTTTTTGTAAAAAAGTTTCCAACACTTTCTGGATTAGAACTTAAAATGGATTCTAGATCGAAAGATTGCATTTGTTTTTCAATTATCATCGTCAAAGGTTGGATTAACATACGAGTCTTATATAAAATTTTCTTATTAACTTTTAAAATAATCAATATCCGCCTTCTCTTGTCAATGACTAAAAAGTTACTCCTGCAAGAAAAGAATGGGTCTTAAACAAATAATAATTTGGCAGAGGCGCGTAGCCGGCGGCGGAGATATAGGGATAAATCCCCCCCCCCCACCTCCTACTGAGATTTTATTTATTACAAGAAATTTCTCCATTAAACAGTCACTTTACCCCTCATTTAAAGTTAGCGCGAATTTGCGGCAAATTATACAAAATAAGCTGTATTTTTTGTATTCCACATCGCGAATTTGTGCTAACTGTGAAAGAGGGGTTATCTTGAATTCACAGTTAGCACGAATTCGAGGTGAAGCATACCAAAATATGTTATAAATTTTTGTGCGTTTTTATATAGATCGCCGCAAATTGGCGCTAACTGTGAATGCAAGGTTATTTGATGGAATTAGAGAAAATAATAATCAGTTGATACTCTTTAAGTATTCCGATGTATATTATATAATGTTGTAAACCAACGTATTCGTGAACTTCGATTCTTTGAAAAAAAAATGATACGACCTTTTAATTTTTTACGATCGTGTTCGATTTTTACGTTAGTTAAATTTTAGAAAATATTCATATATTTATTCATTTGAAGATAAAATTATTAATTTAATATTAATCCAATTTTTTTTAATAAACAAGGGTTATTTTTTAAATATCTGTTTGTTTCCTTTATCACATTCGAATTTTTTTTAACCAGCGACTATTTCTGTTCTAGTATAGTTTATTAACTTGAATATTATTACTTATAAGATTAACGTAAGCATGGATACTATTATTTCAGCATTTGATTCTGAATTAACATTACCATAGCCCAAATATTATATATAATAGTAACATCATATATTAATATTCAATAAACTAATTCTATCCTTGTAATATATTCATATTCAATAAACTAATTATATCCTTACTAAATGTAAAATGATCCAAAAAGTATTATATCACTTTCAAAATCTTCAAGTTCTAATTTAAAGAAACACTTGATTGTAATATTTATTATTTAATATAACAATAAGGAGCCCGTTAATAACTTATCTTAGATTGTTGTATTTCATAGGCTTATTAATTCATTATAATATATATTTATATAAAATAAAACTAATTAAATAATAAATATAATATATAGATATTAAATAGTTAATATTATAATTTATTTTTAGTGTTATAATTTGAAATTTGTTTTTATATTTTAATAGTTGAACAAAATTTAAAATTTATTTTATAAATAATTAAACTTAATATATGATATATAAAAGTTTTTATATATAAAAAATTAATAAAAATATTTATTAATTTTAAACATGGCTAATATATTATGTTAAAATATATATAGTATTTATTTATATTAAATGTAATTTATAAAAAAATTAAATCAAATTTCTAAATGAACGTGAATGCGTTCATTTTTTGAAGGTGAACGTTGAACGTGAACACGCACGATTTGTAGATGAATGTTCAAGGTGAACGCGTTCAATTACTGCACTAATATTATACAATAACTTAATAATTTTATAATATTAATTAATATATGTCGGAATAATTGAAAAAAATGGGAAGAGAAAATTCAACATTTTTTTACTTTTGGCTAAATAAGTTTTGTGCATCAATCCAGGAATAACGTGACCATTTTGAATATCGAAATTATCGTGAGGTCCAAATACGTTTGTCGGGATGATGGAAGTATAATTTTTTCCGTGCTGCACTTTATAACCCCTTTTAGAAAAGAAAGAAAAAATTGTCATAACTATCATGCCATCTAAATTTAATATCGCAATAATTATGCATTTGAACAACTATTCTAACCTAATTCTACCCGAAAAAAATGTGTTATAGCCCATGCGTTGGTAGAATTGAAATTCATCGCGCATTTAAAATTTTCACATATATTAAATAATTTAAAAAATAAATTAAAGGCACAACAAGTTTATAAATATTTAATATATTTTTTTTTCTCTTTATTTTCAATTAATCTATCTTGCAGTTATAGTAGAACACAAATGTATCTTAATTCGCTTCAATCCCGAGAAGACTCTATAGGAATTGGAAAGTGTATCGTGATAGGTATAGCCATCAAAATTCTTAGCTCTATAAATATATTCGAAAATATCGATTAAAGCTTATTTGAAAAAAATGTGAAAGCTTCTATTGAGCAATAACCCTTCTTCATTTAAGTGAATTCAACTTCCTCCAAAAGTAACAGATAATACATATCCATGACCTCTGAAGGTGTATAGTTATACGAAAATAGCGCAGTATAGCATCATTTACAAAATGTACATAATTTTAAATTATACAACTATGATTATCGTTTAGCCATCGCTTAACCATCACTGAGTTTACTGTAAATGAGGCCTGCGTGCGGCTTTACAATTTTCCAGAAGAAAATTACCTAAAATATCTTTTATGATAAAGGTATAAGGTAAGAACAGAGTGTAAAATAATTTTTTAACGTTTAAAATTTTATTCTCCCAATATATTTATATTATATTATATTTTTATATTATAAACTAGTGCTATATTCGATTCAATATATATAATATAAATACCTTATTTATTGTATAAGTTATGATATAAAATATATTATAGTCTAATTAACTCTAAATTAGGATGGTTCAAAATTAATATTTAAAGCATAATTTATGCATATCTTAATTAATAAATATTTCACCTCTCTAATTATATTATTGTAGAGATTAAAATTTTTAGTAAAAAAAAATTGAAATATTATATTATTTAAGATGTTGAATTAAATAGAAAACAACTTCGATTGAAATACACAAAAACAGGAAATAATGCCCTTTCCCTATTTCTGTTGAATCTCCTGTTTTTAAGAGCCAATTAAAAGTAGCGAAAGGGATTCTGAATAAATTGGGCGAAATAGAAAAAAAAACAATATTGATGCTATCAGAAGTTGACATTGAATTGCATTAACAATATAAACTATAATATAAGCATACCAAACAATAATATGAGTTGTTATTGTTATATTATTGCAAAATAATATTTTGTTATTTTCAATTGATATTTTAATATTTATATATCACAGATTAAGGCGTTATTTTGACATTGTATTTTCTTTCAATTGTGACTTGTTAATTGGACATTTTTCTGATTTTCAATATGTAATTTAATATTTATATATCAATGTTTAAGGCGTTAATTTTATATTGCATTTTGCTCAATTGTGACTTGGTGGAGATTATATTAAATTCATTTTGAGTTTAAAAGTTAATTGTTTAAAAAGAAAATTAAATTCTTATATATATATATAGATGATATTTTTTACATAATAAGATAATAAAATTTCTTGAATAAAAACTTATTTACTTAACATCCAAAATCCAAATACTACTTATATACTTTGCGATTTACCCCGATTGCAACAATTATATTTAAAAAAAATGAAAATTTAAACAAAATAAATTGAAACCAAACTCTTTATTTTAAAAATTCTAATTGATATTTTTGAATCTGCCCTTCAACAAGTCAAAATTATATTGGGGTATCTGCTCCTTTTACAATACGTCAGCCGGCCCTGCATTATTTTATAATAACCAGAGCCAATCATTCTACTTAACGCAGAGATAATGTATACCAATATATATGCGTTAAATAATTAAGGTTTCCTTTTTATATTTAAACTAAAAGTAAAGTATTATATTCAATATTCATGGCGGAATTAAAAGAGCAACTTTTATTTTCTATATGTCGTTGTTAGGACTACAAACCATCCTACGTATCATCTTTTAGCAAAATCAGTTCTGTACATGAATGAATTGATCGTGAGTATATCAAACTCATAATTTAATATAAAATATTTTTATTTTTATCGGCTGAAAAATGACCACTTTTTGCTGAAAAATGACCACTTTTTAGGCACTCTAGCTTCGAATTTATCCTTATCCCATTTGATACTTATTTTTTATTGTCATCATTTTTCATCTCTCATAAAAAATTTTGCTCAAAACTTTGATTTTCGTTAGATCCTTAAAAATTCCACATCTGCACTTTCCGTGTAGTCATTTGAGAGGCTAAGTGCTCGCTGAGGCTGTGCATAACCGATTTCATAGGATCGACCATGATGCAAGATTTTAAACACAGAAATTTGCGTAAACTGAACTTGAATGAGGACACGTGGCAATAAATAAGGAGAACGGAAACATATTTTTGGTTAGCTTGCAAATGTATACCGTTAAAAGGGAAAGTTTATAATAATTGACCAAGGTTCAAACTAACCCATTTAATCATTTATGGTGCGATTTCATTTAAATTTTAGGTGTAGAATATATCCCTACAAATCTCTGATAATTCCCATAAAAATTTAAAAATTAATATAAATTATGAGGATCAAGAGTTCATAGCAAAATTTTGATCAAGATAGGCACTTTGCATGTGCTAGAAGTGAATTCCTACAAAATGAGCTATTCCAAAATTGTAAATCACGTAGGTTATAAATGTTTCAAGTTTCAAAATTTAGATAAAAACCTGGACCTATAGAGAATGGATTGAATTTGTTAAAACACTGTGGCAATTATTTAAATAAAATATATATTATAAAAGTTGTTATTTCAATAATTCTGCTAATTTCTATTAAAATTTTAGACTTTGTTTTTTATTATATAAGTTTAATAAAGTAATTTTTTAAATGAGCTTACTTAGACTCAAACCAAAAATTACAGATTTTCCAACAAAATCATAAAACCCCTTATCGAATTTCAAAAAATTTCGTTATTAAAATTTTTGTTTATCGTTAATTTTTTGAAATATATTTAATAAATTTAAAAATAAATGTCATATAATATAGAAATCTAATTTAGTTTTAAGCTTAAGTGATTTTTTTATATTAAATGTTTTTCTATAGTATATAGGTAATGTTGTTAAAAGGCTCGTTTTGAGCCGATTTTTAAAAACCGATAACTCAATATTTAGGCCAAAAAAATATTGCCAAAGGCTCGAGATTTCGCTAATAGCTAAAATATTGAGTTAGCAGTTATAAAAATAGGCTCAAATCGAGCCGTTTAACAACAATAAGTATATGGCTAAAAGTTGTCATTTGTAAAAAAAATAAAATAATTGAATAAATTTTAATAAATATGGTAAATTTTGGTAAATTATATAGCAAACTGATTTAGGACGTCGATCATTCGTTTAGCATATGCATATCCAAAGTTAGAAACATGAGGAGGTCCATTATGAATCTTTATACATTGTATGTATTTTTAAAATATAGCAATTACATTATTAATTGAAATAAAATGGGAATGTTTTTTTCATTAAATAAATTAGGCTTTTAAATTGGTATAGAAGATATGAAATATCAAATTAAAAGGTTAAGAAAAGGTAAAAATGAGATTGAAAGAATCTGTACCATAGTTTCGTCAATGGGATAGCTTGTTTTATCTGGGAATATGCAAGTTGATAAACAAGATACAACTTTTTGGACATTGTTTTGGAATGAAAAATTTAGGACATTATCATTTATGGCCATATTTTCTCTCTATTATTAGCCATAAAAATTCAAAATAAATATATTTAATAAATTGAGTAACATAGAGCAATATATCATATTAATTCACTTAGAGTATTATTTTTCCGATTCTTATAATATATTTCTAGTAAAATATTATTCAAATTAATTATTCCAAAATCATAATTTAAGGTTAAAAGCAATTCTATTTTTCTCTGCTTCAAATTAATGAAATTATGTATATTGCCAGGAAGAGGGCACAAAATGACAGATATTTATATAATTTACTATATTAAATTACAAGAGGAACAGGAAATAAGGGAATTATCATTGATCAGTCAAATTGAAAGTGTGGTGCTTCTAACTCACTCTTATAACTAATGAGGAATTTGGGCTAGGCCATGCCTAAATATATAAAACTCAGGGTTGGCCAAAAAATAATTTTAAGTGACTCTTACAGGTCTCTGATAAATATATAATTTAATCTGAAGTTAATAAATAATTTGATCTCAAGCAACAAATTTAATTAACTAATTAAGCACCTTCAATAAATCATATATATTTTATATTTCAACTCAAAATATTGACACCCAACATGATGATCTTTTATATTATGTATTTTTATTTAAAAAAGGTGAAATTTATTAAGCAAAATCATTTATAAAATATAATAAATATTAGAGAACTGTAATAGGTCTATTTTGCATAAATCTGACTAATAATAAATTTTTTGTCAAACCAATTGAATATGAGTATCGTTTTTTATATAATCTGGTTCTAATTCAAAATTTTTATTTTAGAAATATTTCTGAGTCTTGTCTTAATTTTTTAAATAACTATTATAGGTATAATATTTTAATGAAAGAAGCAAAATACTAGGCACTACAAGAAAGAAGTATTTGGTATTATATAAAAATGCTCCAAAAACATTAGAAAAACAAAATAATTAAAAATTCAGTTGAGGTCAAACTCCAGCCCTAAATATTTTAAAATCAAGGAATACATAGTTATTAAAATTATTTTAGTGAATATAAGTTTCATAATCACTTATATAAATTAAAAATAAATATAATTAGTATGTGGCCAATTATAAAAAAATCAAATAAACTTGTGATTACAAAGAAATCCAAATTATATCTTAAATTTGAAAAAAGGCCTCCAACACGTGCTGCTAAATGGATTACATGACTTGGTTTATGTTTATCAAATATAGCCTTTGCCTGAACAGGATCTCTATGTTTGCAATTAACACAGGCAAATATAAATATTTAAAAAACTTTAAATCACCATCTTTTGAGCTGATAAATACCCATTCATATTTGGCTTTTAATTTTTCATCATTTTCCACAACCATTTGAATAGCATGGCCAACCATGCCAAAGCTACCTGTATAATTAAATGTTAAATTAATTTCATATAATCTTAAGGGGATAAATATATAGGATAAAAAATTTTTAACCTGTGACTAAAATTTTCATATTATTTCAAAATAAATATACACATGAAAAAATGTTCAATGACAAATAACATAACAAATGGCTAATCAGATGTTTTTAAATTGTAGAATTAAAATTGTTGAATTGTGTATTTGATGAATACCCTCACTTTTATTAATTTTTTTTTAATTTAAAGATGGGAACTTTTATTTTGATAATATTGATATTGGTATAATTTTTTTAAAAAAATGATATTGATTATAAATGAGGCTTGATAAAAACAAAAGTTCATTTACCAAAAAAAAGCAATAAAAAAGTTCATTTACAAATAAAAAAAATTTACCGATTGCATGACGTCACGAAGGACATAGTGAGGACATCGGAATATAATATAGATATCTCCCGAATCTTCCGCGGTAATATTTTTAACATTGGCTCATGTTTAGAAGAAATAAAGTTAGTTTAAAAAATTTTAATGAACTTTTAAATTTTTTACCTTTTATTAGTCAAACGTGTTAAAAGGATGGCCTTATTTTTAGATTTTTTAATTTAAACTGATATATAGTTTTAAAAAAAAAATTATTTTATAGTCACAATAAAGGAAGCAATTACAAAGCATCTATCGAAATCGATGAGAAAATTTATAAAACTCCTTGAGAATTTATATGAAAGTTTAGAATAAAACCTTCAATAATATTTATCATAATAAGTTCCTTATCCAATAAAAATGAGAGAAAATAAAATTAAACCAATAATATGTAGGAAAACCAATGAAAATGAATAAATATTGATTAAAAATAAATTTTGGTAGTCAAGAATGGTTAGAATCACTCCCTAGTTATTTTAAAGTAAAAGTTTTAGTAGACTTTGAATATCATTCGCCATTTTATTGTTAGCAAAAAACTAACACAGTTCAATTCAATCTATAATACTTATATCCTTATACTTTAAGTCCTATTCAAAAATTTTTTTTTAAATAATAGATATGATTATGAGGATAATGAATTATTAGGGGTTAGTAGTCATGATAATCACAATGTATCTCTTATAAGCTTAAAATTATAATGACTATTTTTCCTTTTTATATATATAATGTCCTAAATGGTTTTAATCAAAGGTGTCACTAGCCTATACAATCTCAGGGTCTAGAAATTATTTTAGTATTATTTTCAAAATAACTTTCTCGTTTTTAAACTTATATTATCAAAATTACATTTGATATAAAAAAAAATTAATTTCAAGACCCTTCAAATTTTGCATGGGGCTCGACCTCTCCGCAGCCCCCTTCCTATTGACGCTACTGGCTATAATATTTATAGAAAGGAACTGAATAAAATATTTGTTTACATATATATAACAATAGATTAGGACCTTTGGAGGATAATTCTATGTATATATACTATATCGTTATAATATATAAGGATTTAAATATTGCAGTAAACGTTAGATATATGAGGCGGGGCGAAATTTTGTTTACTATAAATATAAGACAGTTTATTATTTAACTTTTAAGTAATATATTTGGCATATATCGATTAATATTCTACTTTACCTCTTATTATAATACTTTTTTATAGACAATTATTTAAGTTTTAAGATATTATAAAATAATAAAAAATAGATTTTATGAATAATAGATGGGGGGGGGGATAAAATACAAAATATATAAATAATATATAATTCACAAAATTACGATATGATCCTATTATAAATTCGCAATAGAGATATCAAATAGAATTTATAAAATCATTATAGAATAGCTATAAAAAAATAAACTTGAAAGCCTTTATCGACATTTAAAAAAATTAGATATTGATAATAATTAATAATATGGCGTAAAAAAATTTATACAAAGATATTTAAAAGGTCTGGGATGACTTTTTGAAAAAAACGGGCCGTGCAAGTTTACGGGCTTGATTTTTTATTATATTTTAGCAACTATTTATTTTCAAAATTTTGATGAGACAAACAAGAGCTCTTAGTGCTCAACACAGCTTTGTGCTAAACACACGTTCAATTGGCGCAGAGGATAGGAGAGTTGTATTATATTTAATATTCAGGAAATTTGTTAAAAATATTTAAAGAATTATCTTTATTTTGGAAAATGCTTAATAGATCATCTTCACAAGGATTTCATTCATTTCCTAATCAAATTTTTTTAAAAATATTCTGGTATGTGTTGGATAAAGGAATTACGCCTGCCTTTTCCTTTTCAAGATCTTTTCTCAAACTGGAAATAAGTTCTAGCATTCTTCCTTTGTTGACCTCTAATTTTACACAGGGCCAATCCAATTTAAATAGAGGGTGAATTATTGTTGATAATATATATTCAAATTTAATGTGTTTGAATTTATTGAAAATAAAAGATAATCAAAATATAAATTGTAAGCAATATTTTTACTGTTTACCTTTTATCTATGCTATCCAGAATTGAATTAATAAGCGCCTTACAAAACTTGAAATCATTTATTTAATTGTTAATAATAAATATCATGGGGAGTGAGATATCCCAAATGCATTTTTTCTTCGCTCTCTAAAATTGAAAAAGTTGTAGTAATCGGTTCCATAACCGATGGGGCGTCGCTAGCCTTTACAATATCGGGGGGGGGGGGCAACTAAAAAAAAATATGGGGGGCATCGCCCTCTACACCCCCCAATTGGCTGGGTTTTATATAAATATATTATACTTTTTAAAAATTTGTTAACTCTGAACAATTATTCTGAATTTCATATTTTGTCATTTATTGTATTATGCATACAAAATAAACTGGCATATAAATAATAAATAATACAAGATATTTCTAAAATAATATTTTTTAATACAAAATCTATTTATTACAGTATAAAGTATTTTCGATTGCTGATATAAAAAAAATTTGCGTCTAAAGAATTACAAGTGATAAAAAAATTAATTAATTCATACATATGCCTCTATTGATAATGATTTTAAAAAACCATATAATGCAATAATATAATTCTTAGCAACTTACATTGACAAAAGGTTATCAAACTAATATAACTCTTTGTTACCATATTTTTTATAGAATAAACTAATAAGGAAAATTTTATAGGCCTATGCCAAATCAAAAATTTTTGAAGAAGAGAGTATAAACGACCAATCCAAATCATAAAACTATATGGTGGTTAGAGCTTCCTTTTAGATTACATGATGGAAGCTATAAGTAATCGAGAAAATTATAGTGAGTTACTAAATTTCTAAAAAATTATCTTCCATTTTAAATGATATATAAACGACTACACATTAACTAAAATATGCAATCATATGCTCTCAGCCGTTGTTGTAATAATCTTATATTACATAGCAACACAAATAATAGATACGGTTAATTTGCAGTAATAGCCATGACACTCACGATGTAAACTTATATCAGAATTTAATATGTTGGATAAAATAATAAAATATAAACACTAAAAATCTTTGGAAGATATAATTATGCAAATAAATTGAAGCTTGGAGTTATTTAACAGCAATGCCATATTAGAAATGAAACATTTTCTAACTATAAAATAAGGACCAGAATGGTATGATGAAAAATTAAGATTTTATATATTGTCGCACCACCTGTATATTATATCTTAAAATAATAGTAGTTTGTAATAATATCAAAAATATACTTGTATTAAAATTTTAACTCAAAACTGTTTTTCGAAAAAGAAAAAAAATAGTTTTCCTAAAAACACGTAAAAAAAGAGAAGAAAAGATATAATTTATTATATCTATTGCATGATGAATAATAAAATGTTTAATTTTTAAAATTATTATATAACTAAATAGATGGAGTTAAATACTTGAATGCAAATTGTTACCATATTTATTATCAAAACCATTTATTAGTAAGATTTATTATAATATTAACTGTAATATATTATATAACTGTCAAATACGTCTATGAAAGTGACATTTTATCTAATATTATATAACCAATTGTGTATAATAGAGGATTATAAACTATATCTCTATTTATTTACTCTTTATAAAGAAATCTCTTAAACTTATTTGAACCTTGAAAATATTTTTAGGAATAGGTAGATAATTAAATTTAAAGATAAATATACAGTTGATTAGTCATCTTGAACTCGGCTATTTACAATATTAAATTTGTTAATTTTCAAATAATATGATTATATTTATTTAATTAACGTAATATTATAATTTAAAAAATACAAGTCAATTAAACTTCTGTTAAAGCTAAATTAATACTTAGTGAGTTATTGATATTATATTTTTAATACAGAATTCGATTGCAAGTTGAAGTGAAAATATAATTTATATGTATTAATCTAATCTAATAATTATATTAGTATTCATTTAATGAAAATTTAAATAGTCTTATTAATTTCTAAATAATAAAATTAAATCTATATATTACTTAATGGAATTATAAAAGAAATAATTCGAGAGGCTATCAAAAAAATTTATTTTTAGTTCAAAGGGATATTAAGGAGTCAGTAAAAAAATTTTTTTGCTTCAGAACGCTATTCAAATTTTTCAGGGGGCTCGAGCCCCTGCGCTCCCCTCCCCCCATAACGACGCCACTGATATATACATATCATATTTATTAATTAAGAACCATAAAATATTCAATCTAAATAATATTCAATCGTGAAAAACTTGTCGTTATCTGAAAATCACTATAATTCAGATTTGTCAAAAGATTCATCAAATTTTTGGCAATTCTCCTTAATTAAACTATCTATTACACGGATTTATAAAAAGAGTTTCATCTTGTAATAAACATTTTAATCAGATATCTTCCCATGTTTTCTTTAAAAATGGCTGCTACCACAATAGCTTACACTTCAAAAATGTAATTTTTGATATGGTTTTAAAATCGACATATGATATTTAAAGTGGGTGCTCTATAGAAATGATTCTTAGGTTAGTATACAATACTAACATTAGTATTTTGATTTTCAAATAGATCAAATAATGGCAGAGGAATATTTTATCATCCGATTCCTCTCCATGTTTATATACTCTAATACATTTTTATAAATATATTATAATTTTTTTACCTGGAAGCTTTTATATAATTTCTTGCATTGTCTGTAATGCATTTGGCAACTTTATTTCGTATATAATATATGCTAAAAAATTTAAAGATTATTCGCTAGATAATCAAATAATTGAAGGCCAAAGATAATTTTTCATTTACTTATCTTTTTCAGAATTAACATTTAAAAAGGAATCAGAGAAAATATCTAGGTTCAGTTCTCTACATAGTTTAATTCCAATATATATTGAAAAATACATATCTATTTAATTGAAATCATTTTTTATTCTTTGAATTTATTAACAATTTGATGTTAAACCAATAGCAATACCATTCTCAAAACATGCCTAAATAATAAAAAATCTTAAATCATTATTGACACAAATTATGCTCAATCAGGAGTGCATCATCTTCGTTTCTTAGTTAAAAAAATATTAACTATGAAATTAATCTTAGAAAACCCATAATATATTCCTAGCTTCCACTCCTATCAAATTATGACGATCTTCCTTCTTTTCCTTCCTATCCTGTAATCTAAAAATGAACCATTTGACAAATAAGAACTTGAAATATATTTAAAACTTAAAATTTTTTTAAATAAAATGTTCCTCCTTCAGAAGCCAACATCAAATGTTTTATCATACCATTTATATGGGAAAGAGGAAGACGTGGAAAGGGAAAAATACTTTTTATAAAGTGTTCAGAAGAACATTGTATAATATATAGTTCTACATTTTTTAAGATATAGCTAATATAAAAGACTAAAATTGAAAAAAAAACAGTTTTAATAGGTTATGGAAATTTTTTTTTTTACAAAAATGGTGTTTTAATCTCCCAACTTTTATTGATGATATCGATGTAATTTTCGAGTTAATTGAACTTGTGAAATAATAAATTAATTTTAATATCTATAATTAATAGTTATTAGAAAAATCTCAAAATAAGTAACACGATAATTTACAGTCACTATAATATCTTCGCGATATGTTTCGCAATATTGTCTTGGTGATAATGAATTTGCTATAATCCAATCGTAATAAATGGTACCATGGAACCATATTTAGGTATGGTTTCACATGTAGGGAGATTACTACATAATGTCAATACGAGTTGAGTTCTAAAAATTCGCTTATAATTTAACATTATGCGATTGCTTTTAAGCGAGGTTAATATTTTTATAAAAATAATTTAACAATATTTACAATCAATTACTAATTCTTTTTATTAGTGTTGTTAAATGGCATGATTTTTTAAAAATGGCTATCTCAATACTTTAGCCAGAAAAATTTTACCTAAACCTTGTGATTTCGTTTCTAAACCTTTGTGACCTATGAGCAAAATCTCAAGACGTGTAATATTTTTCGATAAAATATTTAGTTAGGCGCTTCGCTTTTAAAAATAATTCGAATCGAGCCGTTTAAAATGCTTTTTCAAAAACCATAAATTAATAAATTTTACTATTAAAAAAGTTCAAAATATCTAAAAACATTTTGTTCGAAGAGATTTATATACCGGAATACTTTGAAATGAATTGTCTTAAAGTAGAGGAAAAATGAATTGATTTTTTTCGTAATAACAATAAATGTCCAAGCTTAAAAAACACTACAAACATGTATTTTCCTTAAAGATCCGTATCAGGGTTAAATATCATTAGGTCCGGCCAAAAAATTTTTGTTTTAGCCTGAACCAAAATTATTTTCAAAAATGAGGCTCACCTAAAACCAAAGTAAATTCGGACTCGGGGGGGGGGCGATGGTTGATCGGACCTTGCAGGTAATTAATTTAGCACAACCCACTCAAATGCCTTATTAGAACTTAATTTAACCTGATAAGGACTGCCTGGAGAAAGAAGAAATAGGTTTGCACTGAAAACATTTGAACCCAAACTATAAAATATTAATATATGCCACCAATTTTATAAATTTCTCAATAATGAAAATAATTTTTTAATTCAAGATTTAAAATAAAATATTATTATAAATAAAAACTACTTATTAATCATATATAACATTATTTATACTGTTAAAATTATCTATTTTTTTAATTAGAAAATAAAGATAAAATTAATATATCTTAATAGATTACTAAATAAAGATCTTATTTATAAAACTTCGCCTAGCTTTTCTGTAAGAAAAATTTCCGCAATTTAATAAAAAATTTGGGCAAATTTCGGTCCAAAGCATAGCGTCTTTAGGATGCACCAGTTCTAAAAATTATAGACAGATAAAATGAATGATGGAATTTCACTATAGAATTTATAAGAAAATCAAATTATCCTGATTTTATTGTTTGAATTAAAATTTTCAATAAAATTCTTTACAAATAAGAAAACAATTGATTTTTAATGATTTTAGAAAATTTTTGAAATAGATTTTTCTCAAAGAGCTCAAAGTTTTGGACATCTAGCAAAAAATAGAGGCTTAAAATATTGCAGCTTTTCTAAAAATCGTCTCAAATAGTGATTTTGAATTACTAGTCCTAGATATTACACATAATTGTAATCAAATTTGAGACCAAAGTTATGTTTGACCATGATATTATTATCAGACAATATTTAGAATTTATAAATAATTATTTTATATTGTAATGTATTGTGAAGTAAATACAATAATTTTATTGTTTTTTCTAGACAAAAATATAATAACAATAAAAGCATCTGTATACTATCATTAATCCATATGCCACATCATAGGTGTATGGTCAATCCTCTAAGAAATTGGTATCCCACTAAGTCCTCAGTTTGATCCTGGGTGGAAACATAATTTTTTCATTGGAAAAACTCAAAACAACAAGAATAACTTTATGTATTACAAAATTTTTAAATAAACTTAATATAATCTTTGTACTATGCTAAATAAACTAAACTGACTTCGTTAAAAAGATTAATATAATTTTTATAACGTTTATAATTTTTATAACGTTAAAAAGATTAATATAATTTTTATAACGTTATAAAATTAATATTATTTTTACTAAATTAAGAAATACTATTATTTTTACTACATTAAAAAAGTACTTTTTACTACGTTAAAATTACTATTATTTTTACTACGTTAAAATAAATATACATGAGGGAAGCAAATTTAATATTGCTTATTTTTTTTAATAAATAAAGAGAAAATCATGTTATGGTATTGTGCAATTTAACCATTAAAAAATAAGCATTGGGGAAGCAAATAAAAAAATAATTATTTTTTTAATAAATAAAAGAGAAACAATTTTTTTTATTTAATATTTTTTTCCTTACTTTTTTAAATAATAAATTTTCGTTTTTAAAATCCTTAATAATTTAATAATTGTAGTATTATTGAAAATTTATTAACATTATCATTTAGCTCAAGAATTGATGCGAAAAAATTGATTATTGAAAAGGAAGACCAAAACCAATTTTACAAATCTTAAAAAAAGAAATCAAAACTTGCATCCGTAATTATTCTATCGATAAATATGAATTGACTGGATGTGAATTTTCTAATTCTCTATATTGTTGGTCATGTCTATTATTCCCAAAGGAAAAATATGTTTGGAATGATAAAGGATTTTCGGATATGAATAATTTTCAAAGGCAGTTAAACGGCAAAGAATCAATCTCTCATTTGCAGTCGATGATTCAATTAAAAATATTTGGGTAAAATCGTATTGAAAATATGATAGATTCGATGCGCAATATCAATCGAACAGCATAATTCTAAAGTCAAATCAAATAGATAAATATTGAAAATATTCTTGGAATTCAGGAGCTCGTATTCCGTGGTGAGGATGAATCTTCTAATTCAGTAAATAGAGGAAATTCTATTGAATTAATTTATTTGCTCGCGGAAGAAAATTAACTATTTAAACATCATTTACAAATAGTGCAGTTTTTATTGAACTATCAAGCAATATTCAAAATGATTTAATTAATTCTATTTCATATGTCTTACACCAAAAAATATGAAATTCGTCGAATTGTTAGATATTAGTAAATTTCAAATAATCAAAATTTCCCAAAATATTTTTTAGATAATTTAAACGACACTTGTTCTCATTTTTCGACTTACACAAGCTGGAAACCGAATTAAAGGTAGTGTTTCCAGATGTTTAATTTAGAAAGAAAAAGAATGTTAATGAAATACTTGAATTTTTATACGCACCGATTTGATGAAAAGTTTTAAAGAGTTTTTTAAATTATGTAAATTCATCTTAACTTTGAATTTAACAACAGAGAGTGCAGAACGGAGTTTTTCATCTAAAGATCAAATCGTATTGCAGAAACAGGATGTGCTAAAATCGATTATCAAATCTATCTTTGATTTCGATTGAAAATAAATTATTAAAAAATTTAAAATCTAGCGATAACTTTTATAATGCAGTACTTGTTCATTTTACTCAAAAACAAAGACAAATACCACTTATTTATAAATCTTAATTATGTTTGAGTTTGACTAAAAGAAAAATATTTTTTTGATTGCTTCCCTAGTAGTAAACTTGACACTTCATCACTGATTCTAAAAGATGTTATCAAAAATTTATTTTACATAAATTCAGCTTCACTATGACAACAATCTTCCAATTTATTCATATTATTAACATCAATAGGGTGAATAGTTATTTTTACAGTATTTTGAACCAATAGTTTATTAACTTATCTAACAGATATATATAGCAATCTAAAATCATAGCCCTTGTAGCCTATATCTTTGCTCAAACCCTTTTTAATCACCCAACAGAAGTTTATTAAATAATAGTCTTTAGACTATTATTAAGTGTGGATTGCTTACAAATAGGTAAAGGGCTCCTCATTCCCCTTTATTTAATATCCATTTTGGTGGAAATGAGGAAATCTAGTGTAGCTCTGTTGTCCAACAACACTAGAGGGTTTAGCACTTACTGCTTTTGATTTTTAGAAAATATTTGAAATTAATTTAAAATATTGCAGGGATAAAAGGATATATAATATTTAAAAAAAATTAATAATCATAAAATTTATTTGCATTAAGTATTTATATTGATTTTATTACATAGAAGAATCAAAAAATTATTCAGGCATTGGTATTTTTTTAATATTTAATGCAATTTTTTCATATAGCTTTGCATATTTTGAATCCATATTTATCAAGACTGCACAGGTGGATCTCTTACTGCCAAATGATGCACCTAATTCCTAAAGTATATATTATATAATATATATGTATAATAATAACATTCTTTGAAGGAGTAAATATATAAGGCAATTCTTTATCTTCACATAAAATAGGCATATGGGATATTATGTCAATGGGAGTTGTATCCCCAGCTAATATTATAATACTTATAAAAAATATTAAATTTATTAAACAAATTCATACCCTCGTTCTCCTTTTCTTATAGCTTTTTGAACTGCTTTGATTCCAATTTTTAATGTCTTCATTTTATAAGCTTTTCAGATATATTATAATACATAATGAATAATGTTTAATACCTTTTTTAACAAGTTTTAAAATACGGGTATTAACTTTTTCAGTAGCTAACGGGTGAGCTATAGGTGTGACAAATTTGCACAACTCTTCAAATGTGCTATACTCTAAACTTTCCGTCATATTAAAACCTTGCAATGAAAAGTGGCGCACCTGTTTAGGGCTCGTCATTACAATAAAATAGATTTTTAGAAAATTTTAAAATCTCTATTTTGGTTTATATAGAAACCAGATTCTGAATCTGATACCCACAATAATATTAATTTAGACTTCTAAAATTAATTTTCATATTTATATAATAAAATAATATAATAATTGCCACTCTTAATTAAAGTTTCGATCAAATGACTTTTAGGCAAATCCATGCGTAAACACGATTTTTAAAATTTTATGCGAAAATTAAGAAAAATAAAATTGCTAGCAACATATGGTTTTTTTTTTGTAATATTTATTATATCCATAAATAAGCTACAGGTAAAAATATACATAGTTACTTTACATATTTACAAATATTAGAATGATTTTGCACAAAATTATACTAAAGAGAATTTTATCTACAAATTTGACAAATCATATACTAAAAATGGGCATAGGCTAGCAATTGTTGTTCCTTACAGAGACCGATTAGAAGAATTAAATATGTTTGTACCTCACATGTCTAAGTTTTTATTATCAAAAAATTTGGATTTCAAAATATTCATTGTGAATCAAATTGATTCCTATAGGTATTATTTTTCTATTTTTTTTTCTCACTTTAAAAAAATATGCAGGTTTAACAGGGCTACATTAATAAATATTGGATTTGCCTTAAGTAAGTTAGAAAACTTTGATTATTTGGCAATGCATGATATAGATTTGTTACCATTAAATCAGGCTATTAATTATTCTTATCCTTCTCCCAGTGAAGTTTTACATTTAACTCCCAGTGGAATACATCCAAGATATAATTATCCAACATTTATTGGGGGAATATTATTAATATCACACATTCTATATCAACAAGTTATATTTTAAAATTATATTTTTATTGTTTCCTAATCTATAGGTAAATGGCATGTCCAATAGATATTGGGGATGGGGTCTTGAAGATGATGAATTTTATATTAGATTAAAGGAAAAAAATATAAAAGTACTTAATTTTTTATTATATAAACTTTAATTGTAAAAATGCTATTCATTTGTTATGATCATATGGCAAAACTATCCATTTTACTAAAAATGATTTTGGTTTTCCATATAATTATGTTATTTACATTTTTATTTACATCATAAGACATGCAAAGTTTGGAAGGACACCAATGCTTGTATCTGATAAAATATCCTTTTATAAATTACACTATATATTTTTTGAAATATTTAAATAAGATATATTTGCATAAATAATATTTTATCTTTAAATGAATCCACAAAAGATATATATATTTTTTATATTTTTATATAAAAAATTTACTTTTAATATTATTTTTTTCATAAACTCTTACATTAATTTGTTGTTTTTCTATCTTTATTTTAAATTATAAAAATTATTATTTTATATTTTGATATACCAAATATTGTCATTAAAAACCTGATTTGGGTCTATTTAAAAAATGGCCTGATTAAGATTTTAGCCAAAATAATATTATGTAAGCCTCATCAATTGGCAAATAGTTGTCCAAATATTTCTGCTATCTATGAGCTCAGGTTTATATATTTTGTTAAAATTTAATCAGGCTGTTTTTTAAAATTGACCCAAATCAGGCTTTTTAGCAACACTACTACCATCTTTATTGGTTTATGCAAATTAGATCTTATCAATTTCATGACTTCTTGTCCAGATATTAATCCTTGTATTGAAATAATCATCTCCTTATTTTATAAAATGGAATAAAATAAATTTATTAAATTTATTTATATTTTATTGTCCAACATTGTGGGTTACTCTTTAAACATAGTTATACAAAAAGTATTTGGGAGATTTTGATATGTTGAATTGAATGTATTTACTAAATAAATTTTTTTTTCTCCTGAGGTCGATTTTGGTTAATAGAATTTTAGTTGACAAAATATCATTTGTTTGTTAATGTTTTAGATTACTTAAAATAATTTAAAAAATTTAAAATAGTTCCTCTATAAGAATAAATCACAGAATTTAATTTTAAATTATCTATCACTTTATTGAAACAATTATATATATATATATCAGAGACCTGCAGGCCCGGCCCTAAGCCCGGCCCAGCCCTATACCCGGCCCGGCCAGGGCCGGACCATATTTTAAATTTTTTAAGATTGTTAAACCCGGGCCGGGCCTTAATATTTTTTATAAAAAATTTTACATTATGTGTTAATAATTATAAGATTATATTATATTATAGTTATGATTAATATAATATTGGGTGATGGTTAACACACCTAACACCCACAGATCAATCTAATTATTAATTTCCTGCAAATTTATTCAAAGTATTAATATATTTTTTTATAATTCATATCTAAATTTTTACAACATATTTTATCAAAACAATTAAATAAAGGAATATCTTAAATAAGCCCTAATATTCAAGTATTAATATTATATTTTTTATAATTCATATCTAAATTTTTAGAATATTTACCAAAACAATCAAATAAAGGAATATTATGGCACAAAATACTAATGATATAATTAATAAAATTAAAAATAATATTTATTCTTTTAGAAATACAAATAATAATTTAAAATCTGAAATATGGGCTAAATTTAACATCATCATAGATGAAAATAAAAAAAAACATTGGCTACGTACAATGTAAGAATTGTTCAAGTATATTATCTTATAATTATAAACATGGTACATCACATCTAAAAAGACATAAATGTGATGGTAAATCCATGAAAATTAATAATTTATTTTTACACCTGAAAAACCAACCTATAAATGTAATATATAAGATAAATTATATTAATATTGTGCAATTAGATTTTTCGAAATACTATTTATTATACATGCATTTTTTTAAATAGCGATTTATTTTTATTTTATAAATTAAATAGTAAATTAAATAAAATATATAATATTCTCAAAATATTTTCCATTTTTATAAATTAAATATTAGTTTTATTTTTTTAAATGCAATATAAAATATAGTATATGCTCAAAATATTATTACCATTTTTATGAATATTAGTTTTATTTTTATAAATGCAAAAAATATAGTATATGCTCAAAATATCCATTTTTATAAATAACAGTTTTATAATTTTTATAAATTCAATATAATATTCTCAAAATATTAGCTTTTTTCATGTATTTTTTAAATAATAAGCGATAATACTCGCTGAAAAATATGGTAAAATACCTCATAGGTGAATTTTTGTATATACCAGGTCGAATATAATTTTAAAAAATTCCGAGTTAAATTATCCGGGCCGGGCCTGAAATTTTTTTTTAAAAAAATATCCGGGCCGGGCCTTTAATTTTTAAATCCGGGCCGGGCCGTGCAAATGGTGCCTCTGCAGGTCTCTGATATATATATACGATATTTCTCTTTGTACTTCTGTTTAAAACAAAAAGCGTTCTGTCTCTGAATTGCCTAACCACATATTTTTCATGAATCCCACATTTTCGGATAGTTGTTTAAAACCGATCAACTACCCTTGAACCAAATGTAATTTAAAAAAAATTCTTATTTATTATAAAAAGTTGAATTTTTTATTTTAAAATTTTTATTTCCACAATTTAAAAGTAAAGTTAAAAAATGATAATTATTATAATAGTTATCAAAAAAATATATTCAATAATGTATACATATTATTAAATAGTATCAATATAGTAGGGATGCACTGATATTTCACCTTTTTTAAAAAATATTTTATCGGGCTATATAATAAAACGATCCGATAAAATGACGTCTTAATTTAAAAAAAAATTTATCTCAAATTTCATAATATATTTGTTTATTACCTTTTATGTATATGGATTAATGTTAATATATGAATGAGTGATTTATCAATAAAAATATTTTGATTCATTAATAAAACTAACTGATCATTATAATATATTTAAATGACTTAAGTTATGGTATAGTTAAATTATAGATGAAAAAGTATTAAAGATGAGTAGATGTATGTAGTGATACAAAATATCTCCACTTGAGACAATTGTTAAAAAGTCTAAATTTTAGCCAAAAAAATATTGCCTACTAGATTTTGCAACATTGAATTGGCCTCCAAAAAGTGGGTATCGGTACACCCCTACAAAATAGTCATATTTAATATTTTATATATATATAATTATTTTTAGATTTTTAAAAATAAATATGTGACTTTCTAGGTTTTCTAGCAATTAACTTATACGATGTGGACTATTAATATCCCCTGCCCTACTGAAGACAGACTCAGATGGGACTTGTTGCGGAAGATGTCAAATACTTACATGTAAGTTTTTACAAAGTTTGATATTTTCTAGCAAAAATTTGCCAATATTCAAGTGGATCCACATGGGATATAATATCAATCATTGTTATTAGAGTTATCTAAATAAACATAGATATTAAATTAGCATTTTTAAAATAGTGTGTTTCATACAAGCCCAACTAGTGTTGTTAAATGGCTCGTTTTGAGCCGATTTTTAAAAACGGCTAACTCAATATTTCGTCCAGAAAAATATTACGCAAGCCTCAATATTTTGCTCATAGAAGGAACAAAGGTCTAGGCATATATTATCGAAATCTTGAGACTTAGGCAATATTTTTCTGGCTAAAATATCGAGTTAGCCGTTTTAAAAAATCAGCTCAAAATGAGCCGTTTAACAACACTAAGCCAACCTTTTGTTAGTTTTGAAAAATAATCAGAGATACCACCCTAACAAATGAGTCAACCATAACTCAATTGCAACACTAGAAAAAATTTGAAAAAAATGTTATTACAGTCTAGATATAGATTCTTTTAAATATTACTTGATTTCTTTCAAGTATGGCAGGTCATCTATATTACTTTCAATTATTTTATTTTTATCTTGTTACTCTTTGATTTTTTAATTTATGCGCATCCCTTAAATTAAATTTACATTTTTTTAATGTTATGCTAAACATTATTTTTCTCATTGTCATTACCTAAGTTATCGATACGAAATTTATTTTTTTAAAAAAATATAAAACCTGGCGAATCTTTATTGGGATTTGGAAGTTAACAGTATTATCATCTTTAATAAAAGGTTTATTTATATGCATTCCTGAAATTTTAAATATATGAAATGTTTTTGGGTAAAAAGAAATCCTTATAACGAGGATCAAGTAATGTTGCTATAAGATAATTTTTGTCAGCATAAATATCAAAATATCGGGTTCTCAATTGATTATTTATCGTATTTTTCATGGTCTACCACACCTCTATCCGTGTTCCCATTAATCTTTAATTCCACTTTTCAGAATTTCAACGAAAAGGTATAACATTGCTAGCTGAACATAATTCGGCACTTATTTCTTTTGTTTACCCTGTGAATTGGTTCCTGAACATTAATTACCCTTTTCTCCTAATTCCCATTCATATAATGATAAAATTTTCCAAATTGAGATTATCGATAATGAATCAGCTGTACCTCCCTTTGTTCTATCCATAGTTCGTGCATATAAGACTCAATAGTCAGCACACCCTGGAATAATATGTGCTGAGTTAGGTTTAATATTTTTATTGCCCGCACAAGTATGTAAATGATTGATTTCTGTGACAAAAGATAAAATTGCTGCTTATGCAACCAATTGCCAGCTATGGGCAAAACAGGAATGAATCACGAATGATAAAATATGTTTTGGTTTTTTTATTCCCCTGGGCAATTTTGAAATTTATGACGAGGAAAATTATTATATAGTTACATTACTTGATTCCCCTTTTAAGGATTTTTTCTTTTACCTAAAAAACATTTCTTACATTGAAAATCTCATGATTGCGTGTAAGCCATTAAAGATGATATAAATGCTCAACTTCGAACTCTCAGTAAAGATTCTCCAAATAATATTTTTAAAAAAAATAGTATTAAATCTTATTGATAATTTAGATAATAAGAAAAATGACAATGCTTCACATAATTCAATGAAATGTAAATTTGATTTATGAGGGTGGGATATCTATAAACTAAAAAATCAAGGAGAATTAAAATAACTATAAAATAGGGGATACTGAAGATAGTAATGTAGGCCTGTCATACTTGAAAGAAATGAATATTTAAAAGAATTTTTGCACCTAGGCGGTAATGACTAATAACATATATTTCAGTAAATTTTTTATTGAATCGAATGTTGTTAAATTGCTTGGTCGGGTTGAATTAATACATCGATCTACCCATTTGGTTTAGCGTGATCTGGTTTATTTTTTAAACCTAACCAAAAGTTGGGGTTTTCTTGTCAAACCCATTATTTTAACAATATCTTATCCATGTTTTTATTTAGATAACTAGTAAACAATAATATTGATAATATATCCCTAGTGATTTTCCTTGACTATCGGCGAGTCAATGCTGAGAATCTAACTATCAAAATTTACACGTGAATAATGAGCGCCTGAGTCTCTCTTCAATACGGCAGGGGATTATACATAGTCCAATCGTAGATTTTTGCTATTTTTATTGATAATATTATAATTTTATATGTACTATTTTAATATTAATACCAACTATCTATTCTATAATATAAATTGATTTTTTAGCTCTGGTCATAATTGTAGTAGTATTTAAAAAATTTGCATTACAAATATCAGTATAGGGTATCAGATCGGTTTCGAACGAATATAGGAAAATGTTGGAGATGAAAAATATGTGGATAGGAACATCATCTACTTAAGTTAAATTTTTTTCTCTCATACCACAGGTACTTAACCCGCAAAATATAACGACTGGCAAAAAAACATTTTTACATAACCACGACAAAAATGCTAGACCAAGGGATATGCGCATGTCCTCTAAGCAATACGAAGTATACAAATAAAATCTTGACTTAACACTTAATTTACGTCATTTATCCTTATAAATTTAATAACCAGACTAATTAATTAAATTAAAAAAAAAAATTTAATTGAAAAATTTATGAATAATTTTTCAAAAAATATAAACTGTTTAAAATATACTGGAGGAATTAAATGTAACCTATCCGAAAATATTATACACAAAAAATGATTATTTGGAACCCATATTGTAATGCCAGATGGTTCTCCAAAAAAATATGTTGTATATTAAATTGATTGTGTAAGTAAGACCTTCCAAATAAAAAATTTTCTAGCCGTTTTAGATATGACCCATGTCCGATTTAAAAAAAAGAAAGAAGATTTATTAAGGACGAAATCTTAATCAAAATATATATTTAAAACCCACTATTGCACGCTATACCAATTAAGCGAAAATTTTCATTCTTTTGATTATATATATATATATATCTAAAGAAGATAATAATTTTTTCCCCGAATTTTTTCAATATTTCTAAGTTTTTTGGAGTATATTAACTAAAATATACAACGCATATATAAGGTTTATTTTATTCTCTTAAATTACAAATTGTATAAAAATGATTTATACAAAGACAAAAAAAACCAGTTTTTATGAATTATAGTAAAACAATTATTTGATGAGGAAACGTAATGATACCCCGAATTTGTTTCACTCTACTTTCGTAATATCTTACATCCTGGTAATTTACACCTGACCTTTTGTCATAATTGGGCCAAAATGCAAATTTGGCAAACTCTGCGCTGTACCTCTTTTACACTTTTTTATCCGGATTTCACCGATATTCGTTTATTACTCGAAGCTGAACCAGTCAGTACCTTTATTTCCTTTACACAAGACATCTGCGACTGATATTTTAAAAGATAGGAGTGATTCCTGCTCCTTCCTAGGAATTTGTAACAGGTTAAAATCCCTCCGATATAATAGCCATCCATTAGCAATTATCATATCAAATATATGAAATGCAACTCGATGATACCATTTTCGGGACATATGAATTTTATATAATGCTAGCAGGGAATATATAAGAACCACTCAGTTCATGTTTTTATTGTAATTTTTAACAATGGCAGGACATTTCACATTAATGCTTTCCTTTTTTTTTCTCGATCGAATCGTATCATGGCAGATATTGGGTGGATCCCTATAAAGCTGCTTATTAGACAAACGGAAGGATTGTCAAACAATTTGATAACAGATAAATCGACTCCGTTGATTATCTTTTTTTTCAACAAATCCTCTTCCCTTTTTTAAAATTCTTGATATGTTGGCAAACGCAATTTTTGAGACGATTTGCCCTATACACATTGTACCCACCTTTGGGCTAATATAACCTGTTTGAGAACCAATTATCAAAGCATAACTTAAAATTTTAGTGCAATGGGACTGCGACAACCATGCGTAGAACAAAATTCCTTCAAGCCCCGATATGTGGCATACCTTCAGCTTGATCTATCATTTGACTGGCTTGAGTCAGAGTTAATGCTTTCAATATCCGTATAATCTGATTTAATAACACCTAAATATTTTAATATAGCATAAGAAATACTAGATTTACCAGTGTCATATTTTATATATTCTTCATCAGACGATTTACTCAATTGAGAATCCTCACTCTACCGGTATTTCTAAAATTTAATTCACTAGTCATTGAACAATAAATATATTTTATAAAATTTTCAATAAATATTTTATTATAACAAAAATCATCGCAATATTAACTTAAGTTAACATACCATATTATTAGAAATAAAAAATTTATAAAAATAAAACCAAAAAATGTGGATACAACTGACTCCTATGTATGGACACTTTTAACTGCAATGAACAAATCACCAATCTATACATATACAGTAGTGTCACTATGGGAGGTAAATACAGGGCTCGAACCCCCTTAAAAATTATGAACATTTTTTTTTTAAAAATAACTTTAAAAAATTATTTTGAAATTATAAACTAAAAAAAAGGGTCAATTTTCAAAATATTAGTCTAAAAAAAATTCAGGCAATTGGAAATTTTTTTTTTGAGCCTCCTGAGATTGTAAAGGCTAGCCACGCCACTGTTGTATATACATAATTGATTAATTACAAAATATTATAAGAAAATATAATTTATTTTCTCATCTTAATTTCTTTAAAAACATTTCTTATATTTAAAATTTATTTTATGATTGTTTTGCCCTGTTAAATGCTAATATAAAGATCAGATCACATTTTTTTTTCAGTAAAAATTTTAAATATAACGTTATTTTTTTAAAAAAAATAACATGGCTAACAAAAGTTACAAACCATAAAACTATTCAATTTTTTTATTATTATTATTAATTAATTACATATAAAACTGTTCCATCTATTTTTTTTAAGTTAAGTAAATAATCTATCTTTAAAATATAAATGCAATCAAAATCGCATAAATATAGGTTAAATTTCGATGTAATAATTTGATACACATATGTAGAAAAATCAATCAAGTGTCAATTAGGGCACGAAACGAGGATCTTAAAATTTTATAAAATATTTGAATTTGGCATGTCTACCTTTTCTATTATCAGACCCTTTGATAAAAAAAAACAAATCAATCTCATATTTAATTATTGTTGGGTAATTACCATATTTTTAGCCGGCTAAAAAATTGGCTAAACCAAGTATTTAGCAAACTATCACTCTGTCCTCAGATTTTTTTTTCTTAAAAAGATAGCAGCTAAAATTTGGCTAATATGGAATAAAACATATTAATATTAACAGATTTTCTTTGACAGGCATCCTAGTCGAATTAGCCGATATATATATATTACCCAATTATAATTATTTATCCATAAATTAAGATATCGAAAAAGCGGGATCACCTGACTGGTCTCAACAACTTACCTGGCCTTTACACCGTTGTATCGAGAGAAACACTATACGTCGACAAATATCCATACGAAATGATCGAAGTGGTTTTGTACTGCGACGAATACAAAACGCCTTGGTGTAAATCCTCTTCTTGAAAAAAATAAATAATGTTGCAAGAATTGTTATAAAGAAAATCCTTTATTTATTTATTTTTTTAAAAATACTAATCTTTAGATTTTTGTTATATAAAGAAATATTTTTTTTAGTGGAACCATGAATATTACAATGCATTTTTTTTAAAACGTTTATAATATATGTGAAGGATTATGATGATATTTTATATGAATTATATTTTTATTTTTTTTTAAACGTTGGGTTCCAAAATTAATACCGAATCAATGATTAAGATGATTTTTAAATTTTATTTATTCGGGGGATGTTTTTTTTATCAGATACTAAAATCAAATGCAATATTATATAAATCATAAATCGCGGTGATATTCTTATTTATTTTTTAATTGATATTATTAATATTTATATACATACATTACATTATATTGTGATGATTAAATAATACTTTGCTCATTATCTTATAAATGATTCATTTTAAAATTTCAGGTAAGATAATTTTGTTTCGAAATGCAAAACAACATTAGGAACAAGAAATATTGTTAAAAAGCCAGTTTCGGGTCGATATTAAAAAACGGCCCGATTAAGATTATAACCTAAATAATATAATGTAAACCTGGTGATTTTGTTCATAGATGGCAGAAAGGTTTGACACCTATTTGCCAAATTTCTAGGCTTGCATAAAATTATTTTGGCTAAAATCAGTATCTGGCCGTTTTTAAAAATTGACCCAAATCAGGCTTATTAACAAGTAAGGAGGGGGGGGGGATCATTATGGGTTTTAGGGAGTTAGGTCATTTATTCTTCGCTTTTATTTATGACGATTCATAAAATAAGATCTCGGGCCAAAAAAATAGAAAAGTGGAATTTCTTGATCTGTGAGACCTCTACATTAGAGATTCCGAAAGTCCACATGCCGAGCTAAAAAGTGTAACAATTTTGCTCTACAGAAAATCATATTCATTCAAAAAGTTTATTTATATCTATTGATACATACTGCCATTTTAGTTCTTGTATTACCTTCTTTCTATTGACCTCTATGTAATCATCATCATAGTCAGCCGAAGTCTACGTTTTAATATTGAATCGCTCAAAAATCAATTACAGTCTATTCTCATTCAGAATATTTTTTTTGGATCTTATGATTTTGGGATCTTTATAGTGTTCTTTTATGCTTAATAGATATAGAAGTAAAGTGTTAAAATCTCATTGTATTTTAATATTTAATATGAATCCAAATCTCATTAAAACGCAGCCAGCATGAACTTTGCCAAGCTTCCAAAGACACAACTTCTGAAGTTTAAGTCAATATCGCAATGATTAATTAGTATGCATTTTAAAGTGCTTCAATTCGTTTGGCAGAGGGTATAAAGAAAAAAGCTTTTAATAGTCTAAAATTAGTATCAAGATAGGAAATATTCAAGTACTAAAAGCAATAATTTTTTTTATTTAAATTATATAAGATATCAAATCACTATACTTGTAAATTGTTCTGCTAACTGTTCCAATTTTGAGATATTTTTGTATATTTCAATTTGACGGTTAACCACCAAGGTTAGTATATAAAATAGTCTCAATCATGAAATTTAATTATTCTCCTTTATCAAGATATTTTGACAGAAGAGAATCTTAAAAATATTTCAATCTATATACGGCTCAATAGTACCTTTCATGGGGGAAATATATCAGAGCAGGTGTGTAGTCAGGAATTTATTTGGGAGGGGGGGGGAGATTTTTATAAAATTTTTTAATTTTGTGGTTATTTTCGAACAGGAAACTTGTTTTATTAAGACTAGTGACTTAAAAATTGACAATTACTAATACCTAAATAATCTTTAAATTTATCAATTATAAATTTGAAACTATGCCCATATCTCCAAAGCTGAAAAATTTTTAGTCTAAAAATCCGGTTTGGCTAAAATTAATCTATTGCTACTATAATGAATCACTATAAAATAAATAGTGATCTGAAAGAATTTGTAATATGAATTTTAAGAGTATATATATAAATTTGTAATATATAAATTATCATTAAAAAAATTCAAATGTTGTTGATTAATATATATTCTTAAGAAATATTCCATAAATACTGCTAAAATATTTACAAAAAAAAACAGGAAAATCCGTAACTATGCCAGTGTAAGTGACACTTGGCAAATATATTTATACTGGTAATAAATTAATGATTTATTTTTATTATTATTCAATTCAAATTTTTAGAAAATATAACATTTAATTTTGTATCTAAATTTCAAGGTCGTTACTGAAGAAGATAGCCCCCATCAAAAGATTTTTCCGGCCCCTAAACCTCCGAATATATTTTTGACCTCCAGAAATGGCCTCTACAATTATTTCCGGCTTTTAAATTTTAAAAAAAAATTAGTTATTAAATTTTTACTTACCATTAAATCTAAATGAAATTGAGCGTAATCGATATTATTTGAAATTGTTTAATTTGATACAATTTCTCAACATACAAAAGAGCCCTTTTAGTAGTGTTGTTAAACGGCTAGTTTTTAGCCGATTTTTAAAAACGGCTAACTCACTATTTTATTCAGAATAATATAACTCAAGTCTGAAGATATTGCTCGTAGAAGGAACAAAGGTCTAGGCATATATTATCGAAATCTCGAGGCTTAGGTAATATTTTTCTGCCTAAAAAATAGAGTTAGCCGTTTTAAAAAATCGGCTCAAAACGAGCCGTTTAACAACACTGCCTTTTATTCGATTGGTTCCACTAATCTGGCAATTTAGATGAAAATATAATTAATTTTTCAGGACCTTTTTGCGATGTTTTCATATACCTAACAAAATGATAAAAAATTTAAATAAAATTAATATTAAAAAATGCTAAATACACATCACTTTAAATTCAAAATGAAGTCACATATATTATGGCAGAAATGGTATTGGAATCTATCTCAACAAATTATAAGAAAAGTGAGATGACACATTTTTGTAGGGGATGATAAGATAAAAGATGCAGTAGGTGAAAATTTGCGTTTAATTTTTTAATATATTTATTATGGAAAAATATAAGAGTATTTAATAAGAATGATTGGTTTAGAAAGCTGAAAGCATTTTAAAACAACATGATGATTTAAAGATTAATGCATCTATTAAATAAGCCAGATGTATATTCAAATGTTATGTCTGGTCGAATGGAGGAGTACAAACTTTAATCCAAGACATAAATAAAAGGTACTTTATATACATTGTTTCAATCACAAGTTACATCATGTAAATAATTGGTGCATAACAATATTTCTATAATCTTTTCAATTTAGCAAAAAATATATAATTTCTTTAGGCCTTTAACGTATCCTGCAAATACAGGGCATACTCTTAAGACCCATTTAGACAAGAGATGCAGAGGCGTTACAAAGGGGGGTGGGGGGGGGGTGTATAGACTCGAACCCCCGAAAAATTAGAAAAGACTCCTGAAAATTTTTGAAATTGTTTTATACCTAAAAACAAAGGTCATTTTGGAAATGTTAGCTAAAAAAAGTAGGTCATTAATTTTGTAATAATTAAAAAAAATTTTTTTGAACTCCCTAAGAGTGTACGCTCCTGATGAGGTGGGCTAATCAGATGACAAAATCTTGTATAATTTATGAATTTTGAAGTTATTGATGAAGTATTATTTTACATTTTAGTATTGTTAAAAATCCCGATTTGGGTCGATTTAAACGGCCCGATTAAGATTTTAGCTAAAATAATATTATGTAAGCATCACGATTTTGTAAATAGATGTCCAAGCATAGCTATATGCAAAATCCTTTGTTATATAATGTTATTTTGGCTATAATCTTAATTCGGGCCGTTTTTTTTAAATTGACCCCAATCGAACTCTTTAAACAATATATAATAGAACGTGTAACTCGGAGATTACCACTCATGATTCAGCGCAAATCTAATCTATTAATCTCTTGTTGTATCTGTCATAAATGATACTTTTTTTAAATATAGTTAAAATGTCAATCTTAAATTTTTATGAAAATGATTTAATATTTTTTTTGAAATTTAATTGTAATTTTTTTTGTTGAATTACTAATAAGAAGAAGATTTTATTATATTTGTGATTTTAGTGATTTGAATAAATTATTTCTATATTTAGATCATTGCCTAGGTCTTTCTATTTGGTTCTCTAGTTTGTCATTGACATTTCTGTTTTTTGATTTTTTGTAATTTAGTCTTTTTTTGACAGTTGGTGCCGTGACCAGGATAGTCTTGATTCCAGGGTTATTCGGTATTATAAGGTAAAAACAAAATTTTTATTTTATATTTTGTATCTCTCCGCAGGACACAACGCAATCACATTTTTGTTTAAATTTTTTAGAAATTTAATTAATTTAAAAAATAGTTTTAAAAAAAGAAAGAAAAAAGAACGTATTTTTTTAAATATTCTAAAATTATTTATTTACCACGACCGATTTAAAGTAATATAAATTTTCCATATAATGAGATGGGCTTTATGTTTAATTTTGATATTGAGCCTAGCTTATTTAATAAAATTTCGGAATATCCTAGTATTACTTATCAAAATTTGTATCAAATGGTTGATAAATTTGATGTAAATAATGCATTAGTGACAATTTTATTATTGATCACAATATATGGGTTATCTATTATAATAAAATTTTTGTTTGGAAAATGTACTCTGGTTGCGACCAAGGTATATGGAATTTGGAAAATAAACACTCCGGTGTCGGCTAATTGTTGGAAAAAAATTTCGGTCTTGGAAAGTAATTTAAATGTGGTTTTAAATGAAATCAAGAACGGCAGACCAGAAATGGTAGAATCTTTGGAATTTAATAACGATGATCGTTTGGATATAGTGGAGAGATCTGTAGTTATCCTCCAAGAATTGAAAGAAATAAAAGAAGTGATTAAGATTATGCAAGATATAAATAAATTGGTTATTGCGAATAGGAATTAAAGGCCAAATATGTGGTCCGACATGGTCAAATGGGAAAAATATCTCCGTTGAAAAAGATGGTTTTTCTGGTCATAAGAAAATCTTAGAAGAGAAATGTACCCGCTGTGGGTATAGGGGCCACAAGGTAGAGACTTGTGTGGTCAAAGTACAAAATTTTCATGAGGGTTTTCCGTTAAAGAAATTAACATTAGAGAATTCTAATGTTAGAAAATTTCTGGTACCAACACGAATAAATGTGAGGTTTTACGATCGAATGATGATATATCCCGTTTGTGCTTTAAATGTAACAAACTGGGACATGTAGCCATAAATTGTACCAAAAATTGACTATATGATTGCAGGTGTAAATAGTAAGTAGGAGATCGGGAGGTGGAAATAATAATAAAGTAAATAACCATGCTGAAATGAGATATGATTCTCGTAAAAGCCGTGGTTTTAACCGAAATTTTTTTTATCCTTATGATAAAAATAAAAATAATGAAGATTCTAATGATTTTAAATGGGAGAAATATCCTAAGAGTATGTTAAATATTCCGATGAAAGGAATGATAATACTTTCAGATGGGAAAAATATTCCAGTTATATTGCAAAAAAATATATGAATATTGTTAATGAACCACTAAATTCCGAGTTGAATTAATGTTCAAATGGAAACGAAATTAATCTTGATCAGTCAATTAAAAGATATGAGATTTTAATGACTGAGAGATTAGTCGAACCTTGTCCTTGTCCAAGAGTTACTGTAAGAGTTGATTCAAGGGACATCAACATGTTGTTCAACACAGGGGCTAGCATTTCCATAATGTCTAGTGGAAATTATTATAAGTATTGGCCTGGGGGTAAACTTGAAAAAGAATCTATGTGTGTCAGACAATTTGATGGGTCTGAAATAATAGTTTTGGGAAAAACTAAGTTGGGAGTAATTCTTCATGAAACCACATTTTTCCTAGATTTATGGATAGTAAAGAAAGATGTGGAAACCATCATGGGGTGGGATTGAATTGTTCAGTTAGGTCCTTTCAATAATTATTGGAATATTTTTGCCATACATAATGGTTCGGCCCTAAATGAGACTAAAAACAACAAAAATATTGCTAATAATGCTCGAAAAAATATTCATGAAATAGAAGGGACTGATTTAACCGTAAAACAAGATAATTCAACCCTTAATTCTGATATGTGTGTAAATTCCTCGGAATTTGGTTGAAAACAATATTAGCATTGATGAAAACCCAATGGTTGTTATTGGTATTCATGAATTATATAAAATGCGTGAAAATATATCTCTTTTAATGAAGAAATATGAAATAATTTTCGAAGACAAGTTAGAATGTCTTAATGATTATCAAGTGGAAGTAAAATTAGGGGTAAAGTTTTTAGTGGGCCAGAAAGTTTGGACCAGATTGTTTGACAATCGAAAAAAAAAATGGGAAAGAGGTCGGGTAGTATTAAATCGGGGTTCGAAATTAAATGAAATTTTGATAATAACCGGGGTTACTGTGATCCGTCATCACGATCATGTAAAATTGGGATAAATAAGAGGGGTAAATAATATGAGAAGATATAATCGATTTTTTTTAAGGGTTCATATCGGGTGAGGGTTCCGTATATTGGATCATTTTTTTTAACATTGTTCAATGTACACAAGTTTTTATGGTCAGTTTCGATTCAATTTATAGTTCAATTCAGACGGGTTCATTAAAAGGTTTTTCACCATTTTAATGATATTGGAAAGGTTTTTCTTTTTGTTCGTTAAGGAATGTTCTTTGTCTGCCAGATGATAGGGACAATAAGTCATTTTTTTTTAATGAATAGAAAAGTTTTGTTTTTATTTTTTATTGAATAAATAGAAAGTTTTTTTTTCAGGGTATTAAAATAATTTTTGTTCTCAGTGTTAGTCGAAAAGTTTTTTTTGTTGTTGGTCGTGTTATGTTTGATTAGTCACATTGATAAAAATTTAATTTTTTTGCGAATCTTAAACATTTGGTAAAAATTTTTTGTTAGATATATTTTTCTTCTTCCAGCCCTTCTGTTGTATATTTTTCCCCTCAAACTTATTTTTATTGGAAGTTGCCTCTAATTTGTAATTAATATTTAGGAATGAATAATACTGACTTAGGGGATTCACTTGATTGAGTTAGATTTTTTTTTACAAATACTTTTGTTGTGTTTTGTTTTACTTGACGCTCACCCCAAGGGATATTGGTGATAATAACATAGAGATATTTGAGGCACATGTGAGAAATAAGAAAAGTTTATAAACATATATGCGATTCAACTAGTTTGCACTATACCATAAGTTTTTTTTAAATAATATTATAATAAGTTTTTTTTATACAAATACACACTATATATATGAAAATTTTTTCATATCTATATTCATAAAAGTTTTTTTATATTTTTAATTTAAGTTTTTTTCCTAAAAATTTTTTTTTACCTTCACATTTAAAAAAAAAAAGAAGAAAAAATAATTTATATTTATAGAATAAGCTTATCTTTTTGTGTATAAATCAATTTTCTTAACCGGCATACAATTTTCTTGAGAATATTCATCAACCGCAAAATATCGTCAACATGCAAACCAAGAGTCAGTTGATAGATTTCGGCTCCTGTTACCTACAAGTGACTCTCATACCTAAAAATACAGGGATGACCATCCAGTCCCCTATATTTCAAGAAAATGCTATGACATCCGGAGGGCCCAGGAAGCGAAGATGCTTCAAATGTAACAGCGACGGGCATATCCGGAGCCAGTGTCACGTTTTGGGTAGAGATTCTCGCCAACCCCTAGCTACATACCAATTCTACGGGCAGATCCGCCAGAAATAATAGACGAAGGCCGGACGAACCAACGCAGGTTCAATTGTCGTTTCCTCCCGTTCATTAGGCTCTGTCGGCCAACAGAGGCGAATTAATAGGAATTTCAGTAGTCGATCTAGTATCACATCAACCCCACCGACAGAGGACATTCTCCAGAGGGCGATAAGCACTCTTCATGAGCCCGCTCCGTCAACATCAACAACCTCGACGGTCTTACAACATGATGATGCCATGGATTTGTGGGAGGATCAATTACTGCTACCGTGATGACTCCCACAAAGTCCGCGATATTCACATCTGAGGATTCTGATTGTATATATATATATATCGCGAAATTTTACATAGCGGAAAATTAGTAATAATAGGCATTTATATATTTTTTATGTACATGCCATTGGCCCATAAAGGGGTGGCATGTCATAAATGATACTTTTTTTAAATATAGTTAAAATGTCAATCATTTTAAATGTTATATTTTTTTATCGTTTTTAAAAAAAAGTGATTTTTTTTACATCATTATTAAATTTTTATGAAAATGATTTAATATTTTTTTTGAAATTAATTGTAATTTTTTTTGTTGAATTACTAATAAAGAAGAAGATTTTATTATATTTGTGATTTTAGTGATTTGAATAAATTATTTCTATATTTAGATCATTGCCTAGGTCTTTTTATTTAGTTCTCTAGTTTGTCATTTACATTTCTGTTTTTTGATTTTTTGTAATTTCGTCTTTTTTTACAGTATCATTGATGCAATTTATGAAACCTTAACAACCATTGATCCATTAAATAAGCATCTTAAGATAGTAGATACGAATATAGTAGTTGCTAAAAATTTTGTTGACTCCACAATTAATATAATAAAGAATCATGTTAATAAAAATCGTCGTATTATTATATATTTTTATAATCAAAATTTTCCTTGTTTACCATTAAAAAGATAAAAATTTAAGAGTTTTATTTCAATTAAATCTTAAACACAAAAATTTCAACTTTACTTATGAAAGTAAAATATATAGACAATTTTAAAATAATGTTTGTGAATTGAGTAATTATTTCGGAGATATAATTATAATAACACGTCTACTTAGAAATTATGAAAAATATATTGATAAAATTTACCACATTTACAAGTTTTGATCTTGCAACCTGTTCATGAGCCTGGTCATTATATATATTGTTTTAATAATTAAGCTATCACAATAAATAAGATCAAATATATATATATACACTTTAAAGTTATTGTCGTTATTTTGTTTATTTAAAAATTTACAATATGACAATTTTTGCATCCGATAAATCATTATTTTTGCATCCATTCATTAAAAAAGAAGAAAAAAATCTTTAAAGAAAAAGCCCTTAATGGAAAACAATGATATTATATTATCCGAAAGTGAAGATGGTATTTATAGTATATTTATTATATTAAATATATTATTTATGCAAGATTTTTACGATATTACAAATGACATTGAAAATGATGAAAATAATTTATACCAATTCAAGAATGACACATCAATTAAGCCTAAAAGTACCTCTTGTTCAATTGACAAATCAGATCGAAAAGATAATATTGAAGGAAACGTATTTGATCATTGTGAGAAGGATCATGGTAAAACTGATAACATAACTTATAAGGAGGGAAACATAAATAAAGAAGACATTATACTACAAAGAATGAAGGAAGAAAATTTATTGTCCCCTGAAGAATTGGCTGTAAGTTTTTAAAAAGAAGTAACATATAAAATTATAAAAACTATGTGTGTCTAAAAAACTATATTATTCTTGTAGATTTTTTGGTATCTTGGTTATTTATTTTTTAAGAATAGAAATGTCATTGCAGATTTTTTTAAAATATTTAAAAAGATGATTCCTATATTTATTCAAGATGTTTGTTACCCAATCTGATATTGGCTCATATTTGATGCCAAATGTATTATTTATTGGAAGAAACAAATACCACTATTTTTCCAAAATATGTTGTAATAATTAATTTAAGTTGATAAAAATATTTTAATAATAGTGATTATTAATTTTTTTTGTTTATTCTTAGTAAAAGAGTTAATTCTGAAATTTATTAAACTTAATAGCAGTTTAGAAATTTGTTGATTCATTTCTTTGTATCAATTTATGTCTCAATATGGGCCAATATTTTTAATCCTTAGAGTTAATTATCATATTGATATAGCTTAAAATTGAAAATATTGGCTAATAATGGTTCCAATGCATCTTTGAAATTTGTATCAAAAAATTATTAAATCAATGTTTTTATAGACTTATTTTATATTTTATTCCAACTATATAAAGGAGAGAAAAGCCAAAGCAGAAGAATTGAAAAATGAAGGCAATAAACATTACTCAGATAAAAATATTGCTGAAGCATTAAATAATTACACCAATGCCATCAAAATATGCCCTCTTACTTTCAACAGACAAATTTCTATCTACTATTCAAACAGGGCAGCTTGCCATATGCAGAAAGTAATATAAAATATATACATTATACAATAAAATTTCACTATAATTTAAGTGAGTGGAATGTTAAGGGTTTTGGCCATCATTTAACATGTTAAATGGCCTAGATAAAGTGAGTTTGCTATAATGAGGTTTCAACTGTTTATTTCTAATATCATTATAATAACAAAAAAATACAAAATTGATATTTATAAACCAATCACATATTTAGATTAAGTTTTATTTGCCATCCCAATGTTATAAAAAAATCAATATTTTGTAGGCAAAAAATTAACTAACTTTATTATAGGGAAAACAGAAAGACTTTAATAATTTTCATTTGTCATGGCCAAAGCAATATAATGCATTATCACGAATGATTAAGTGTTTTTTTTTATTTCCCCAAAATTAATCACCTCTTAAAATATGGGCAATATTTTTTGAACCATTTTCTTGTTGCCAATAAAATAAAATATCAAATTTTTAATCACTCTTAAAATAAATTTTTTTTTTTTAAACATTACTAATAATTTGAATTATCCTTCCTTTTAATTCATTAGTAAATTGTGTTTAAAAAAAATAATTATATTTACAATCATAAAATAATTTTTAAAAAATGGTGTAGATATTGATTGGGGTTTTTTAAAAAATATTGACAATTCAATTTTTTTTTTGAAATGTTAAATATCGACTCAATCAGCTGATATTTACTATTGGTACAATTTTGTTACAAATGTATTTTATAATTAGGCACAATATACAGAATCAATTTTAGACTGCAATGAAGGTACAATTTATTTTTTTTTAACTTAAAATTATGAAATCATCATTTAAATTAAAATTTCTGCATATCAGACCTATTTTAATATAAATCAAATAGTGGCATTATTCATGCGGATACTAAAATTTACTATTTTTATTCATGCTCCAATAAATCTTTTTTTTTAAAAAATAAAATAAAATAATTTATACACAAAAATATGTTACAGATTTTTTTTATATTTTACATCAAATTTTAAACAAAAATAAATAATATAATGATCTGATGACAAAGAGCATGCCATCAAGTTTTGTTAATGATAAAATGCATAATTAATTTAATCTATAATGCTAAGCTAATGTAAAAGTCAAATTGAGTTTTTCTTATTTTTTAAAAACATGCGATTTTTTGATAGAAGATTGTTCAAACTAAGGAAAGCCATTCACACGCATTAGATATATAACTTGCATTACTTGCCATATTCAGAGGTCATAAATGAAAATGACAACTAATTAAATTGTATTAATACATTAATAATTATTCCGAATAATCAAATTATTCAAATAAACAAAGTATTATTTATATTCGAACTGAACGAATAATTTATTATTCGATTCGTTTGAATAGGCTTATTGGAAATTAAAATTTAAAATATATATTATTAAATATTAAAATTTTTCAGTTTAAAGAAAGATATTAAGTTGAAGAGCTCGGATAGCAGTGGCGTAGCCAGGATTTTATAGGCCTACGCCACTGTCGGATAGGATTTACTCGAGCAAGATATTAAGAAAACGAACTAGTCAGACGGTTAAACGTCCGTCACATCTTCAGTTTTAGAATGGGATACGTCCCAAAGACGCCATACTCAACATTATACATTGAACGAGACTCGTCATCGTCCCTGCCAGACCTAAGTTTTCCGTCCCAATAATTTTTTAATAAAAAAATATAATTTTTAAACATAATATACTTTATTTTTTATATATTCATAACTTTATACATATATAACAAATAATAAATTATCCATTTCTATAAGATCTATCTCATTAATTACTTCCAATTTAAAAGTGCGTGAAAATATTATAAAAAAATAATAAATTGTACCTTTTTTCCAAAGATGGTATAATTTTTTAAGAAATTTTTTTTTACTTTTTTAAAATTAAATTTATTTAAATAAATTATAAAGAAATAATTTGGTCTTTTTGGGAGATATGACACCCAACGACGTTATAATCGGGACGGGACACGTCACGTTTAAAATTCAGTCCCTGGCGGACGTTTGACTTATCTTGTTGAATTTGTTGTGTTATGACTCCATATATCACTACTTATTAGTAATACAAATCCAGTTACGTTCTTTTCTCTATCGATTTTTTAAATTATAATAATCAGTTTAATAACCCCCATGAATAAATTAAAAATACATTCGGTTGATTAATGATTTGTTAAGCCCTAAATTCGGACCCTACATTTGTCAAAGCCTACGTCAGAAGGGCCAAAGCCTTCGAATCATGCGAAAGATTGGAAGATGCCCTCAAGGATTATCAGAAAATCCTGGAAATAGATAAATACAACGGGCCAGCTCTTCAAGCCTGCCAAAGGCTTCCGCCGCTCATAAACGAAAAAAACGAGAAACTGAAGACCGAAATGTTTGGTAAGTCCAGTCTGTCTTATTTATCATTGTTGTAAATTATTAATTTAATATCCATTTTTTTGTGTACGAAAAAATAGGGTAAAAACCTTAAAACTAAAATATTTTATAGAATTTTGTTTTATTTAAGGCTTGATTGCTAATGTTACATGAATTTTACTCCCTTTTTTTGCTTTGATTATTTCCTGATGTCTTAATTTTGCCAATTTTGTAAGTTCAAGCCATCCTAGTATGTTTAAACGGCCCATTTTGTTAAAAACCTAATACATTAGTCATAAATTTTTTACACAAGCTTGAATGAATTTGCTCTTAGATGGCAGCTATGTTTTGGGGGCATCTACTAACAACTTGTGGTTTGCGTGATATTTATTTTGGAGTAAAAAATCGGCGAAGCCGTTTAACAACACTAAGACATTCAACCTTGAAATCTCGAATACACTTTAATTTTGCATTTTATATTTATTTTTTAGGAAAGCTAAAAGAGTTGGGAAATATGGTATTAAATCCATTTGGTTTATCCACCGAAAATTTCAAAGTTAATAAAAATCCTGATTCGGGTAGTTATTCCATAAATTTCCAACAAAAATCTTGATGAAAATATCTTATGAAATATATATTTGATAAGGTTATTTATTTTTTACAAATTTTGTTATATTTTTTTTGTTTTAAATGTAAGAAATAAATATATAATCTTAAAATTAAAACATTCGATATAAAATCTCTCAATATTTGAATAAAATATAATATATTGTATATGATATAGAATTAAATTTATCATTTAAGGTGTATTTTTTAAAAATATATTTAAAAATAGAAGTTTGATAAAAATATTCAATTTTTTGATTAAGAATAGAGATTCTTAATCAAAATACAAAAATTCAGAAATCTTTTTCGAGAAATCATTTGTAATTTTAATGCATAAAATGAAAAATTTTCAAGATTTTTTTAAAACTTCTATTTAGAACCTAAAAAATAAATAAAATAATCACTTTTATTCTTCAAAAAATGTTGGAAATATTTTAGAAATATGCATAAAAATATTTGCGGGAACTCCTATGATTATGATTAATTCATTATGTAGAAATAATGTACAGGGTACCTGTAGCTTGATATATATATATATATACCTTAATTTAAAAATTTGCGCTAATGGTGAGATTCTTAAGGGCTTTATTGTACAAGTTGTGTAAAAAGTTAGGGAGTTCAGTTTTCGGTAGATTAATTAATTTTGGGTCAAATAGTCGGGAATGGCATTCTAGCCTGCCTCTTGGGGAGAGAAGGCGATATTGCTCAATGACAACTTAAATTTAAAGTCAGAACCAGGAAAGAAGGTTGAATCAAGTTTATAGTTATAATACCCTAAGAAAATATCAAGCATGAAATGATCTTGGGGTTTGGTTATTCAACGGAAATGGCTGTTTTCATCAATAAGAGCATAAAAAGATATCCTGTTGCTAGTTATGTGGGAGATCCAAAAGCCAGAGTGTGGATAAAGTATGCTCATAGACTAATATTATTTAGAAATAAAAATGTGATATGAAAAATAAATTTGCTAGAATGACTGGAAGTATCAGGTGTGAACAACAAATGAGAAGTGGAAGGAGCCTTGTTTATAATGAAGTTAAAAATAACTGCCAAGTTACAAGAACAGCTGGTAGAATGTTTACAAGAGACTTGCAAAATCGAAAATGTTTGATGCGAGCCTACCCAAATGACCCCCTGGGAAATTTTTATTAGATCTATCTCTAGTCCATTAGGTTTTTATGATAATTTAAATTTTTCTTAAATATTTTGATTTCAATTTTAATATTGTAATTTTTAGGGATTATATGTTTGCTTTAAGAGGATTTTCATATTTTTTTGTTTATAAAAGTTATAATGATGTGTGATAGACAATTATCTAAATTGAACCTTTGTATTAATTGCTAACTTAATAAAAGGTAGCTATTTATATGAATAAAATAATGACATTATTTATTCTACCAGCCAAATTGACTAGTTTTATTTATTGATAACTTTAATAAAATAAAAACTATAATGCTTTGGTCTTACACTTAAAATTATGCATCTCCCTTCCTACCTGTCCAAATTAACCAGCATGGTTATGCATTAAATTTAAATATTCAGCACTAACTGACAATTTAATTATGTTTATCTATTTTATCACAAAATTAGGTGTGAAAGTGAATATAAACTTTTTATGTTTGTTAATACATTTTTCAATTATGATAATCCATCAAGCAAAAAAGGAAGGGTAGGAAAGATATTTCATATTTTAACGTCCACAGGTCTACTTTGCAGAATTCTAGGAAAAATTACATAGAGAAAGATAACTTATTCTGCACTATAAATGGAAAATTATACGCATATTATATTTATTATAATGGGAGATAATTTCCATTTATAGTTCAATCAGGATTATTTGGGTGATGATATATGTTCAGGCGCGTAACCAATGGGGGGGAAGGGGGGAAATTCCCCCCCCCCATCGCAAATTTGACTGTTTTCATAAATATTATTTTAAGCTAATAAAAATTTTACCCTCCACCCCCCCCCCCCCAATCAAAATTTTACAAATATTTGAATATCAATTTTCCAACATAACACTTATTTTTTATAAATAAATTTTATTAAAATTTACTTTCCTTATGAGTACATTAACATTATTCAAAAATATTAATAAAATGGAAAAATTTTAAGTTCAAAGAGATTGAAATCAAATGGTAATATTTTATTATTATTTAAATTCAAAATTATTAGTAAGTTAGAATTAATAAGTATTTTTAATATTAATTATTAATAAATATCTATAATTTTTAAATATTATTTATTTTTACTTCCATTTTGTAGAACAGAAGAAATAGAAATACAAAAGTTAAATAAGGCTAAGCATGAAAAAAGTAATGTGTCGTCAGAAGCGATTCATTATTGAATTCAATTGATCAATCAGAGTTTATCATTGCTGCTTGTTGCATCAATAAATTGTTTTTAGTTCACTACTTTGTAGAAATTTACAAAAACCAAATTTAGATTTGGTTCAGGTTATTGATTAGGCGGAAAATATATATGAACAGGTAGATACAATAAGAATGAATGTAGATGAATATTTTCATAATATTTATATAGACGTTGAATCGAAGGCTAAATTTTATGATATAACACTAATTAAACCTCGTCTAGCACCTGAGCAATTATTGAGATGTAAAATAAATATTGGCTCAACTGAAGAATATTATAAAATATCCACTTTCATCCCATTCTTAGATACTTTTTTATCGCAGATAAAAAACAAGTCTTTAGCAATCTTCAAGTTTTAATACCCAAAGATCCATCTTCGTTTTCTAATGCCACTATTGGCAAAATTAAATATTTAGCAAAATTTTATTCCTATGATATTGATCTGAAATAAATTTAATCAGTGAATTCGAATTGTGATAATACGTTTAGCTATTTTACCTGAGCATGCTATTGATGCGTTCAATCGGTGTAAAGAAACCTTGGCTCAAATTCCTAATATTTTGAAGTTGTTTTATATCCTACCATATTTGCCTATTATAACATGTACGAATGAAAGGACTTTCCAACTTAAGAAGGTTGAAAAAAAACATATTTATAAAGTACTAATTCCGAATCTCGGATAAATGGGTTAGCTCTGTTAAATATCCACAGTGATTTGGTTATAAAGACAAACAAAATTCTTGATGAATTGGCAACATTCCCACGAAAATTAAAAATCGCATTATAATTATAGTATTTAATAAAAAAATTTGTATAATATTGTATTTGATAAGAAGTTTAAAAAAACTTGTTTTTTTAATTATTTTCTAGTCAATATTTTATAGTGTTGTTAAACGCCTCGTTTTGAGCCGATTTTTAAAAACGGCTAACTCAGTTATTTATCCAGAAAAATATAATGCAAGCCTGAAAATTTTGCATAAAAGGAGCAAAGGTCTAGACATATAGTATCGAAATTTCGAGGCTTAGTTAATATTTTTCTGGTGAAAATATTAAGTTAGCCGTTTTTAAAAATCAGCTCAAAACTAGCCGTTTAACAACATTAATATTTTATACACACTATTATTAGTATTTTAAATAAAAAAATTATATTATAATTATATTGTATGTTTAAGCTGAGGCTAGTTTTTAAAGCAAATTCTATAAAAAAAATGACATTAAACTTTATTTCAACTTTACATTTAAAAAACTTTATTAAATATAATATAGGGGAGACCGGGGTAAAACGATAGGCATTTTGCATATTTACCATAAAAATTTTAAACAAGAGTCAAACACAACAAATTATAGATCAATGTGTAGCCCCATCCCTCTTCTACAAGATAAAAAAAAGTGTAGCCCTCTATAATATTTTAGGAGCTATGATTAGTTATGTAAAACTACTCATTTTCGCCATTTTACCCTGGGTACAGGGTAAAATGGATAAGCACTAGGGTAAAGTGGTTAAAATAATATTTGACACATATTTATTGTTTTATTTAACAAATATTACAAATTTAAGATTTATTTATGATTTTTATTTAAAAACTAATCGATACAATAAGGACATGTAAAATAATTATCATAATTAGCACATTTAGAATGTGCCCATTCAAGGCACATTGTACATTTTAGCCATTCATCGCCCTCGCGACTATTTTTATAGTTTTTATTACAAATTACACATAAACAATTATTTTTTGATATCTTTTTTTTTCTCTGTTAATAATTTTTTTTTATAAGGTGTAGATGTTAATATTTCTGAATTCTTTTTTTTAGATATTTTATCCGATGAAATATTGAATAATTTTGGAATAGGTATTATAGATGAAGGATTGAATACTTTATTATAATTTTTTGAGCATGATGGTAACATATCATGATAAGGTTCATCAATATCATCTGGAACATTTTCGTTCAATAATATAGATAAATCACTATCATTATTTTGAGTCACTGTAAGATTTTGAGTTACTATAAGATTTTGAGTCACTGTAATATTTTCATCATTATTTTCAAATTCAATATTTGAGCTAGCATTTGAATTATTACAGCAGATATAATCTTGTGTAAATATATTTGGGTTTAAAGGAAATATGCCACATGCTAACAACCCATTTAATATATTATTTGGTGTCACTGCCCTTGGTATTTCATTTTTTAACACTCCTGGAATATCATAAATCTGAAATTGTTGCCCACATGATTTCTCATCCATGTGTCAATAGCTCCATTATAAAACTTTTTCAATGGCCCATAAACTGCTTTGTCTAATGGTTGGAGTTTATGCGAGCAATGTGGTGGAAGTGTTAGAATAACAATCCCATTGGAGCGACAATAGTTTATAACGGATTGAACAATGAGAGCTATGGTTATCTAAGATTAATAAGACATTTTTCTCATTGGATGCACTAGAATATTTTTTAAAGTGTTCCAAAAAAGATAAAAATTCCTCCTCTTGCATCCAACCCGATGCGTTTCCCACACCCTTAGATCCAATAGGCCCATCACGAATAAAGTGATCTTTGTATCGTTTTCTTGGAAAAATAAAAAATGGTGGAATGCTATGGCCTATAGCATTGATGGCTAAACATATTGTAACTAACGTTCCTCTTTCTCCTGACGTTATAGAGCCGATTTGTTTGGCACCCTTCTGTGCTATAATTTTTGCAGGAGTTTGAACGGTGGTGAAACCACTTTCATCTGCATTCCATATATTATGTGGTTCAAAGTTATAAGAATTATATAGCTTAATTAAATTTTCAAAAAATTTATTGACATTTGTGGGATTGAAGCCATATGCTCTTGCTAGACTAGTAGCTTCAGGGGTACGAATCGAAAGTTGGGAATGTCGTTTTCTAAACCCCATAAACCAGTCCTCTCCAGCCATACCATTAGTTGTCCAGCTTTCTGGGAAAGATTTGCCATATTCTTTAGCAAGCTGATATGCAAATCCTCTTATCTTGTTTATTTATAAAATAAAACAATTTCATTTTAATAATTAACAATACCAGTTCCATAGAGTTAAAATGATATATAATTAATTAAATAAATTGAATTAATTTCATAATTTTAATAATGCTCAATTGGTAACTTTAATATTAAATATCAATATTTATTTGATTATAATAAATGAATGAATCAAAAATTTAATGTGAATAATTTTATATTTTAACCGTTTTACCCATAACAGCTTTACCCCTAGGTGACATTTATTTTATAGTTAATACATTAAGGAACATGTGTGCCAAATTTTGAATCCTGAGGATATGTAAATTTTACTAAAAGCAAAATATACTAGAGATTGATTTTTATATTTTTTGGGTAAAAAACAGTTTTTTGACAAAATATATAAAACCAGGTAAGTTTTTTAAAAGATGAACATAGGTAAGAAATTAGATATAAAAATACATCTTCACACCAAATTTAAGGTCTTTATACTCAATGGTTAAAAAGTTATTCGCGTTAACATTGTTACCCCGTCAATCGCTTTACCCCGGTCTCCCCTACCTAATTAAAAATAATAAAAAATAGTCTTGAAATATCCATTAGCACGAATTAGTAAATAATAGTTACAAATAGAAATATAATTATTATTAAATTATGAATAATTAAATGGAATAGCTAAAACATAAGACCCGGCCGAAGGCCGGGGAAAGCTGGCCGAAGGCCAGATAAAAGGGGTTTGGGAGCGAAGTCCTCAAAAAATTCCCCCCCCCCCCTTATAAGAAAATCCTGGATACGCCACTGTATATGTTAGTCCACTAACACCGACCATATCAAAATGCAAAAGACACATTTAAAAATATATTGCTGGAATAACGTGGTCGAGTTCGATCCACAATATAACACCTCCCCCCCCCTACATTCAAGGACGGAACCACCTAGTTAGCCTTGGCTTTAGAAAAAACCTGGTCCGTGTTGGATTCAAACTCAAAATTATCGGATTGTGATACACGAATTGATCCGACTAACGCTACTTGGAAGAAAATTTTACAGGATAAAGTTACAATGCTATAATCATTAACGTTCAACGCTATACATCATCATTCTGATTATTTTGACTAAAATTTAAAAAAAAAACATTATTTTTAATATGCCGTTAAACAAAATCGCGTTCTACGGAATTACCGAATTTAAATGCTTTATTTATCACTATATAAATGATGACAATTTAATAATAATAAATAGAAAGGTGATAATGCCCATGGATTTAGTCATAAATAATAATCGTAAAATTTTATTAACTTGAGATTATAAATTAATATTATTTTTATATATATCCATTATATTTAAGATATTTAAATAATTATAGATTTTTAGTATTTATAGGAACATAAATAGTAAACATGAATCATAAGCCAGAACCTGAACCAAAACAAATATTGTTTCAGGTTCGAATTTAGATAAAAATGGTAGTTCAGGTTTGGAGTCTCAATATATTATATATCTTTATTATAGTTCACTTTATATTAATGTAAAATTGTTTAAATAAAATTGTAAAACTATTAGAGCTATAGCTTTAATTTTATTACAAATAAATGTTAGGAGACTATACTGTACGGTAGTGTTGTTAAACGGCTCGTTTTGAGCCTTTTTAAAAACGTCTAACTCAATATTTTAACCAGAAAAATATTGCATATGCCTCGAGATATGGATAATATATAGACCATTGTTACTTCTAAGAGAAATATCTTCAGGCTTGCGTAATTTCTGGAATTAAATATTGAGTTAGCCGTTTTTAAAAATCGGCTCAAAACGAGGCGTTTAACAGCACTAACTAAAGTTATTTTATTAAGAGCAGCTTTCAGTTTTGAATATACCCCGAGCAAGAACATGACAAATTATCCCCGGTCTCCCATACCAGTTTGTACACATATAATATTATTAACAATACCATGCATTATTTATATTCTCTTTTATTATTATTTTGTACTTTTCAAATACTTTGTACTTGAAATTTTTAAAATAAGATCGGTCAATAAATTTTATGAATATTTTCAATTAATTTTAATCTTCACTATATGGAAAAATTCTCTCCCACACCCCGTGTAAAAAAATTTTGGCTACGTGCCTGGACCCTGTATATTGACAATGGAGTGATTTTAAAAATTGGGGAAGTTTTATTACTCAGGTAATAGGTCGAATTATGCGGGCCGGCTGTCCAGGAAAGAATGAGAGATACGATTTTTCTGTATGAGGGTGCGATAGATTGGATGGATACAGATTAATGTCAAATAGAGAAAAAGATTTGAGCAGATATTACAATTTAGAGGTATGAATAACAATGTTTAAAAAAAGTTATATACTTGGGGAAACCCAGGGTTGTTGACAATAGAAGATCACTGTTTAACACAGTATTATAAATCGGTGAACTTGTGTGAATATTTTCCTTACCTCCATAAATATAAGTAAAGTATTCAATATTATTCACGATTTTATTTTAAAATAACTGAAAATTTATCAATAACATTATTAGAGTATGATTAAACATTCAATAGTCATTTGTGTTAAATTAATATTATAAACATTAAAAAAATATTCGATGATTATAAATAAAATAATTTATTATGTAATAGAGTATTTTTCAGGTACAAAGCAATTAAATTCATAATTTTTTTATACAAAAATAAGTTTAAACAATAAAAGTGTAATACAGTTGAGATAGGGATTTATTTTCGGTAACTTCATAAACGGCTATAGTTACTATGTATAAGGCAAATCCAACAAAATATTTAGGATGCCGTATTATGTTGGAAATACATTTGAAAACTATATATCATAAATGATGGAGCGATTCATTGATTGGGTATGTTTTACTGGCAGGATTTATTGATGCCTCAATATTTTCATTATTGTCATCATTATTTAAATCCCCTTTGCTTAAGTGATCAATAATTCCAGCTCCAAGCGAATCACCTAAAACATTAGTTGCAGTACGGAATCTATCTCTATAATTTATAAACATTACAATAGAACCTAATATACACCGCTAATTAAAATTTAATAACCCATTTATAGAAAGTTGTATTGTATAGCAAAAGAGTTTCCATTTTTATATGCTATTCTATATATTTAGCTAGCTTTTGTATGTTAGCTCGCTAGTTTTTAAGCTAGATAAGTTAGTATATTAGCTAAGCTAAAGCTAACACATGTCATGCGTACTATATCCTTCATTAGTTTATACAATCTCTCAGATTTTTAAAAAACTAAACTTTTTATAAATGGTATTGATACTAGGTAACTAACATATTTTATTAAATCTTAAAGACAATAGACATGATTTAATTAGATTAGTAGAGTCCTATAAGAATGAATGCACTGGTTAAGAATACAAATAGTAAATTATTTCGTTTTTGTTCTAATACGAAACGAATAAACAATTATTTGATTCTAAATGTCTTTTAATAAAATATAAGCTATTTTTTCAAGATTCAAATATTTTAAAAATATATATAAAAATCATGCAAATAAAAAAATATTTCAAAAAGAGCATTGATAATATTTTAAAACAGATAAAAGAATTAATTTTTTAAATAGGAATATTTAAAAAGACTTAAAATAAAAATAATCTCGGCCATGACAAGTATTGAACTATGAATAAAGGTTAGGTAGATTTGCATATGAATATGGATATTTGTTGCTTAAGATAAACACATCCATTGGGATCTCCTATCAGATGTTTTTGTCATTTCTATTGATAACCATTCATTCTGACAGGTGATGAGATTAAGAAGAAGGAATGCATTAAAAAGTTTGCATATATAGAAGTCCACCATTGAAAGGAATTTAAACAAAATGTCAACGATATTTAGTCGAAATGTGAAAGATATTTCGACAAAATTCTTCCAATGGCGTCGACTACATCCAATAGTATAGATTACAGTTGTTTATAGTATTAATGCCATTGGTTGGAACTATATTTCTGTCAAGAAATAGCATGTCTTAGTGTCTTATAAAGAAGAAACAATAAGAAAAACACTTTAAAAGAGTGGATTGGCATTAGAAATTCAATTAATATAAATTTTAATTATTAACTTGACCGCATATTCTTATCATCATATTATTATATAATATTCTTGCAATAAAAAAATAATCTGTCAGCTTATGAATTATTTTATAATACTTTTAAATAAAAAGAATTACGAATAATTCGAATCCAATATACAAAGAAAATTTTAATGATTCATTAAAGCTAATCAAATACGAATAATGATTATTCGAAATCTTATTCGTTTGAATAGGCCTAGTGATTAATTCATCATAAGTCATGGAATGGGATCAAAATATATTATAAAAAATAACGAAAGCCACATGATCTAATTTTGATCCCTTATCCAATATTTTAAAGAGTAAGAATAAACCATTTTAATTTCTAGAAAATAAGATCTAACAATTTAGAGTTGTTAAAAAGTCTGATTTGCTTCGATTTTAAAAAAAGGCCCGATTAAGATTTTAGCCAAAATTATTATGTAAGCCTCGAGATTTGGCAAATAAAAGTCCAAACTTTGCTGCCATCTAAGAGCAAAATCTTCAAGCTTACATATTATTTTGGCTAAAATTTTAATCGGGTCGTTTTTATAAATAGACCTGAATCGGACTTCTTAACAACATTACTAACCATAAAGCTTTGCTGCAATATATATTAAATGAGGCAATATAAGAAAAAAAATCATATAAAACTGAAATTTACAATAGCCAATCAACCGCCATGATTAAGGTGATGTCGTTGATAGGAAGATTGACGGAAGTTAACACTATGAATATGGTGAATAAACCCGCGCTGGGGATACTTGCTGCTCCTATGCTAGATAACGTTGCGGTTAAGCTATCCAAATTTGAAAGATATTTTGAAAGAATATCGAAATAAGATATAATCGCAAATATGATTTGTAATAATATCTAATAACTATTTGAAGATTTAGTAAATTTCTAAGTTACAGTCATTTCACTTATTCAGTAAATCTCAATACGTGCATTATCTTATCAATATATGTGATATCATACAAAAAAAATTATCTGATTATATATATGTCGTATTGGGATATGGAATCATGTGGGATTCCGCTTGAATCCCCACGTTTTATTCGGGATCTTTTTTTTTAAATATTTTTTTAAAAAATATTCCGAATCCCCATGAAAAAAAAATTATATATAATTACTTTTTCTTCTCTTTTTTGCGGCTGGCACCATATAATTAAAAGGCCAAAATAAGGGATTTAAAAAGAGAATTTAAAAAAAAGTAAATAGTATAAAATTAAGAAATATAATGAATGAAAAGGGATGAGGTTAAGACATTTTTATTTTAAAAAATATTAATTACTTTTCTTCTCTTTTTTTGCAGCTGGCACCATATAATTAAAATGCCAAAATAAGGGATTTAATAAGAGAATTTAAAAAAAAGAAGTAAATAGTATAAAATTAAGAAATATAATGAATGAAAAGGGATGAGGTTAAGACTTTTTTGTTTTAAAAAATATATTTATAAAAAATCCGAATTATTGCAACATTTAAGCAGGGACCCGAACCGTTATTTATAACGGTTCAGTTTGGTTACAGTTCAGTATATAAAAAATTATAATGGTTTCGTTTTGGTTACGGTTCTTGAGAAGAAATTTATATAAAAGTTCCGTTTGATTCAGCTAATTATAAAGGTTCATTACGGTTAGAAATTTTTTTTTTATTGAATCAACATCATCTTAATTTATTTTTATTATAAGTATCTATGAATTAAATATAAAAAAAATATATAAGATTCAAAATAACTCATTTTTAAATATATTATTTGAACTTATAAGTAATATATTTTCAAGTATAAATGGATTCCTTTTTGTTCGTTGTGACGATAACACAAAAAGCCCTTTCTACAGAAATTTGTGTTGCGGGAAACCGCCAGTAATATAAGAGCACGTTTATATAATTCTGGATATTCAAATTATTTCCATTTCTATATAAAAACTGAACCGGTTTAATAGTTTTTTATAAAGGTTTCTTTTTACTCCTTCAAAAAATAATTATATCGGTTCGGTTACGGTTATGGTTCAGATATTTATAACAAAAATAAATTTTTTTAAAAAAAATATTTAAGGGGATTCGGAATCTTTTTTTAAAAAAAACAATTAAATTATATTTTTTTGCCGCCTGGCTGGCACCAGAAAATTTTATTTTTTAGAGATAATTAATATGTATTACTTTTATGCTTTAAATCGTTAAATACTCGAAGGCAATATTTTGTTTCACGCCCGAAAATTCACGGTGTTTTTAAATTTTTCAAAACTTTAATGCTATAATTTTTTACACTTTTTTGAATTTATTCTATTTATTTCTTTAATTCCATAATCCATAATAACAAAAAAATAAATACATATTATAAATCCAAATTTTTACTTAGAAAAAGAAGAATGTCTATTTTTTTTATTTTAATTGTGTACGCCTTTCCTCTAATAGGCGATTGGCTACAGAAAATAACCTTTCACTAGAAGCCGAATTTGCCAGGGCTGACAAAATTTTACTCTCTAATTTTCTCAAAAAATGAAAAATTTTCCTGCTTCCAAAACTTTAAAATATTGCCATTGTTATTTGTTTTATTTTTTAAAATTTTATATTGATATTGGTATAATTTAAAAAAAATGATAAAACACTAAAATATTAAAACTATATAAAAATATGTAAAAAAAATATATAAAAACTAAATAAAAATATATATTGGTCCTTAGCTTTTTTTTATAAAAAAACATTTTGATAATCTCAACTTAAAATTTGTTCGTTATTATAAATAATTTAGTTTTAACAATCTCTAAATGAGTCTGACCTTATTTGTCTCAACCTAAAGATACATATTATTTTTCCTTATTCATATTTGATTTTTAAAAACGGCTAACTCAATATTACATCCAGAAAAATAAACCAATGTAATTTTTTATATACTGAACCGTAACCAAACTGAACCGTTATAAATGTTTGGATCCCTGCTTAAATGTTCAATGAAATGCCATATTGCATTGAATAATTTTTGCTTTGCAATAATTCGAAATTTTTATAAATATATTTTTTAAAACAAAAAAATCTTAACCTCATCCCTTTTCATTCATTATATGCCTTAATTTTATACTCTTTACTTTTTTTTAAATTCCCTTTTTAAATCCCTTATTTTGGCCTTTTAATTATGTGGTGCCAGCCGCAAAAAAGAGAAGAAAAAGTTATATTATTTTATTTTTTATTCATGGGGATTTGGAATATTTTTTAAATATTTTAAAAAAAAATATTTAAAAAAAAAGATCCCGAATAAAGCGTAGGGATTCCGAATCCCACATGATTCCATATCCCAATACGACATATATACAGGGTTGCCATGTCTCCCCCCCTCTGTGGGAGTCTCCCACAATTTTTTAGTTTACCCACATACATCTCACTCCCACAATTAGAAATCTCCCACAAAAAGCTCCCACAAAAAGCTCCCACAATTTTTTAATTTCTCCCACAATTTTTTTTTTAGCATTTTAATGTTTTGAAATATTTAACGACTCCAAAATAGTGTTAACTTTACTTGTGGTAGGACAAAAATGAGCAAGGCTATCACAAATGTGTTAGGACCTAAATCCAAGAGGTCAATTCTAGACGAATTGAAAGAAGGACATCCATATGCTATTTTAACAGATGCATCAAATAAGGGAAATATTAAAACATTTCCCCTGATCCTTCGCTATTTCAACAAGAATAAGGGCATTTCTATAAAACTATTGAAATTTTTTTCATCCGATAGTGAAAAATCCAACGATATAGCTAACCACATAATGGTAAATATAGCTGATTCAGGGTTATCAATGAGTTGCATGTCAGCTTTCTGCGATAATGCCTCTGTTAATTTTGGTAAAAATCAAAGTGTATTTACCGAATTGAGGCAGCACAATAATGAATTAATACCAATTCTGTATATGCCATATACTGCATAATTCTTGCAAGAAGGCAATGAATGTACTATCTGTAGATGTCGAAGTAATTGTGATGAAATGTTTTAACGAATTTAGTTCATCAACTAAAAGAGTCACTGAATTAAAAGAATTGGTGGAGTGGTCTGATTTGGAATGGTGAGAGTTGTTGCGATATGAACCTATCAGGTGGTTATCATTAATACCTGCCATCGAGAGAATTTTAAAATTTTACGAACCCTTAAAGAAATACTTCTTAAATAAAGATTTTAAAAGCTGTCATAAAATTTTGAAAATTTTTTTCGAGGATGAAATGTCAGAAGCAGATTTGGGATTAGTTTCACATGTAGGAAATCTACTTCATGTAGTTAATATTCAGTTGCAATCAGAAGATTCTTTATTGATAAAGATTCACAAAATCATGCTACAGCTCTGTTCATCTCTATAGTTAAAAATAGATAATAAATTTTACGGCGCTATTGCTAAAAATATCATATTAAAATGTTCAAATATTACTATAATTAACGTATTTTTAAATGAAGCAAATATTTTTATTAAGACAATTTTGGAATATTTACAATCAAGATTTGATTTTAATAACTCTATTTACAAGTGTGTAAATATTATGACCTTGGAACAGAAACCATCATTTAATGGTTTTTGTAATTTAATAAATATATTAAAATTACCGATAGACATTGAAGCCTTGTTTAAAGAGATTGTAATTTTTTCCATTTTTTATGATTCGCCAGATACTTAAAGTTAGATGGTCTAAAAGCAGAGGAGAAATGGGTGGAAATTTTTCGTAATAACGATAAATCCCCATGCTTGGAAAAAATTTGCGAGTATGTTTTCTCCTTACCTCATTCTAATGCATCATCGGAGCGCATTTTTAGCCTGATGAGGACTGCCTGGAGAAAGGAGAGAATCGAATTGCTTTAACAACATTAGAGGTTAATGGTTAAACAAAATTATAAAATATCATGCCAGGAATTTTATAAATATCTTAATAACGACGGTAAACGTTTAGTTCCATTATTTAAATCTCAAATAAAATATAATTAACTATAACTATTTGACTTTCTATATTTTATAAAATCTTATTTATACATTTGCATAAAATCAAATAAATTTATTTTTTACATTGTAAAATTAATATTTTGGCAAATCATAAAAATAAAGAAGCATTACAATCTCCTCAAACATGACATCATATTAAATCTTATTAATAATTACGATAATAGTAATAATATTCTTACTTTGGTATTTCTGCAGCATAATTTAGTGAACCTTTATTAAATTATATTCTTCTGATTGCAACTGCATATTAACAGCATATAGTAGATTTCCTATATATAAAATTCATAAATATACTTCTGCCATTTATTTTTGAAAATTTTTTTCAAAATATTAGGACAGCTTTTATAATCTATTTATTTTTTAAAGGTTTGTAAAATTTTAAAATTCTACGATGGCGCGTATTAGGAGGAACCTGTCAACCAACATTATGCTGACTCAATTCTGTAAATAGACTCTGGTTTTTGCCAAATTCACTGAGGAATTATCAGATCAGAAAGCATGCAATTCATTGGTAAGGCCAAATCTGCCATATTTACCCATATATATGGTTAGCTATGTCTTTGGATATTTCATATCTGGAGAAAATTTTTTTAATAGTTTTATTGAAATAACATTAATTTTGTTGAAATAGGGGAGGATCAAGGGAAATGTTTTGATATCTCCTTATTAGATGCATCTGTTAGAATTGCATATGTTTGCACATCTTTCAAATCGTGAAGAATTGACCTTCTGGATTTATATTCTAAAACATTGATGATAACCTTGCTCATTTGTGTTCTACAAAGTATACTTTTCATTTATATTAGTCGTTAAATATTATGGGGAAAGATTCTACCAACATTGTGATGTTAAATAGCTCTCTGAATGTTGTACTGCATGATAGGTATTTACCATTTCCGCAACTGTAGTTGCATCTCTATTATTTTTTATTTTTGAAGAATATTTTTGTTTTGCAATAGATGTTGATAGACTGCCCTGTACTGATTTATGCTTTGAAGATTTTTGATGCCTCAAAATATCATATTCCCTTCCCACATTGTATTAACTAAATACTGTAGAACAACTTCCCCGCACTGATTATAATTATTTTTTACATTGTAAATTTAAAATTGTTTGTTTTTTTATAAAATCTTATTTATACATTAGCATAAAATATATTTTTTTACATTGTAAAATTACAATTTTTTTATAAAATTTTATCTTGTTTACATTCTTTTGTATTTAAAAAAGATCTTTGGTTATTATTTTTAAACAAAATTAATATATTATAATAAATCAATATGTTATTTTAATAATAAAGATAGTATTTAAGAAATTTTGTGTCCTACTATAATTACCTATTTTGAAAAATAGTTGCGTATTTTATTTTGGAAAATAGTTACCTATTTTATTTTGGAAAATATTTACCTATTTTATTTTGAAAAAGAGTTGGATATTTTATTTTGATCAATAGTTGGCTATTTTATTTTGAAAAATAGTTGGCTATTTTATTTTGAAAAATAGTTGGCTATTTTATTTTGAAAAATAGTTGGCTATTTTATTTTAAATAGTTGGCTATTTTATTTTGAAAAATAATTACCTATTTTATTTTGGAAAATAATTACCTATTTTATTTTGGAAAATAGATTCGAGCCCGCAAAAAAATTTGTTTAGCAATTTTTATATTTCTCCCACAATTTTTATATTACTCCCACAAAATACCGAATTTCTCCCACAATTTGAAAATTTTGACCTGGCAACCCTGCATATATATATATATATATATTAGAGTCAAAGTCATTAAAGTGTAATGCTTTTTCAAAATTCACAAATAATATATAAGATTTACGATACTGCTCAACTCTGTATATAAATATTGATATAAGTTGAGATACATCAAATTTTGAATAATTTATTTTTAAAATGAGTGTTGCTATTTTAATATATTTCAATGATTATACCAGTATAGAGTTATTATTCATTAAATATAACAACTCAAGTATTCAGGTAGAAGGGGTTTAGTATGGCTAAAAATGTCTATAGCAAATTATGGGGGTGCATTAATTATAAAATTAGGATATTTTTTTAATATTAAGATCTAACAATTATTTATAATCATTTAATTATATATTCTGTAAATGAATTAATTTTATAGATTATCACTTCAAAATTTTTATGTTAACAATAGAATCCTACAAAGTATTATACACACATTACTAAGTATGACTAAAATTGTATCTGTATCTAGATACATTTGTAAAAATATATCTGTACTTAGATCTACTTTTAAACGATGCACCTCTATATATTTTGAATAATATCAGTTTAAAACTCTGACTAGAGTAAATATATTTTACGCACACATAGCTGAATATATTTCTAGCAAAATCAGACTTTTAAAAATTAAAAAAGAGTAAAAAATTGCTCTAAAATTTTAATCACACAATAATTTGAAGGCGCTTTTTTAAAATTTGAAAAAAAAACTAATTTTACCGAAAATATATTCCAGCATATGTGTAATACCCATTCTGTACATATCAGACAATTTAGCCATGCCCCTACTATTCATTTTTTATTTATATTTTATTTGGCAATACACGGATTGATGAAGGTATTAAATTAACCAATCCCCAATTGATATCTTGTACTAGAGATCGGGGCGGGACCATGAAAATTCGAAAAGAATTTTCGGCCCAGCCCGTAATCTTTTTCACCTAATGACCTCTAAGATATATATTATTTTTCTAAAATATATACCCAAACTTCTAAAGGTGATTACTTCTGAGTAATTAATATTTCTTCTTTTTTAAAAAAATTAAGATTCAATCCATATATATTCTTTTCTTAATTTTTTTTCGCCTCGTGCATTTTTTATTCGCAATCACAATCAGGTTCTGCAAAATTATAATATACTATCGTTAGGGCGGAACTAGTTCAAATTTAGATTTTATTTTACATTGTATAAATTTATGAACCTAATCGTGATAATTGAACCGAAATTGAGGTAAATATTATTGATTTGAGCTATAAACAAAGCAACAACGGCCTCGTATAACGCTGTCCCGTCCATATTGACTGTAGCACCCAATGGCAAAACAAATCTACTAACTCTGGTATCCACATTATTTTTTGTCTCGACGCATTTCATGGTAATTGGTAACGTGGCCGCGCTAATTTTTTTTTTGCATGCATTGATTATAGTATTATTTGAATTATTTCATATTAAATCCGAATGTAAATATTCGTATGTAGATGATGCAAAACCTCTTCATTTTAGCCGATTTTTTAGAAACGGCGAACTCATTTTTTTTTACCCAGAAAAATATTTCCTGAGCCTCATGATATCGCTAATAGATGTCGATGCCCTTGTGTCATCTACGAGCAAAATCTTTAGGCTTGCATGCTATTTTTTTCTGGATAAAATTACTGAGTCACATTTTTTAAAAAAATTGGCTCAAATGGAGCTATTTTGCATCAACTATTCGTTTCCATAAGTCATTATTTAAAAATCTGGGCGCGTATTCTGAGATATAAAAATATTTTTAAGTTTTTTTTTTATTTTTGTATTCATATAAAAATATTTTGAGAAAAAAAATAAAATAATAATAACCCAAAATAATTTTAGGCTCTAAGAAATTACTAGCTCACTTAAGAAAAATATAGAGATAATTTATATTTTATTTTATTTATTACAAAATATGATAGTAAAAATAATTTTTTTATTTTTTAAATTCGTTTTTATAAGATATTCAATCTCTCAAAAAAAGGAAAAAATAGGAAGAAAAACATTAATATTTTTTGGATAGCGAGCCGGGCCTATATTTTATTGACAATGTCACCACCGGTCTGGCCCTGTCCAAATTTAATACGAAGATAAATTACACGAATAATTTTTTTCAAAATAATTCACAGTTTTTAAAAAACAAAATCCTTCAATAATCTAAAAATCTTATCAAGATTCAGGTCAGGTCAACAGGACCTCCATCATGTTAAATTAATATTACCTAAAAACTATTTTTTATTATGACCTAAAATCTTCAATAGCTTATTTATATTTATTAGAGTAAATAATATATCCGAAATTTCATTTATTTTGGCTTAGTAATTCTTTTTAAATGTAAAAATTTTGTGATTTATTCTTATTTTCCCCACCAGAATACACTTAAAGGGTTATAATATTTAAGAGTTTACTGGATTTTACAGATAAAATACTAAATTTTTATAAATGAAATATTCTAATAACCTGGAGGCCGTTCCAAAAGCAGTAAGTAAAGCCTGATTCATGTTTCGAGCAAATACGAAAGGATTTTTGCGGGTTATCAAAAAATAGATGAAAGGCAAAATGATGAGAGAATGTATGAGCACCCCACTTACTACTGTTAACATGAACATACCCAGTCGAGACATGATGGTTTTCAAATCATCGATTGTCAATATCTTAGCTATTAAGAGAGACATTATTCCCAAGGGAGAATACCTGATATTTTTAGAGGATGAATCAATTTTTTTTTAAACATAATCTGTAAGATAAAAGAAAAGAGATAGACGGTCCATACAAATTGAAGCGTTTGTGCGTTTTATTGTCAAATAATATATTTTAAAATGGTAATGTTTTGCGTTAAAAAAACGCTAAGTAATTTGTGTCTTTTTATAGACAAGAATAAAATAATTTAAAAAAGGAAGAAAAATATAGTATACCACATGATAATGCTTATAATTTTCATTATGACGTCATTGAGACTTATGAATACATCAACCAAAATTTTGGTCGATTTGCCCAACTTTTGCATGATTATTCCGAAAGCGATGGAGACAGTTATGATACCTGTTGTTAAGTTTTTTTTTTTCGTTGTGATAGAAAATAGTATTTTTACAAATAGCAAAATTAGTTAGAGATGAAATCTCAAGGGGGCGGAGTATTCTTTTTTAGCCTCTAGGAATATGGGAATTTTAAAAAAAAATTAGGAGGTTTGCCTATTCCTATCAAATTAATCGTAAATAATTATAGGGCGGATTTACCCATATAAGTGAGAGTTTAAAATAAATCGGGAGGCCTGGTAATTCTAATTATAATACCCAAAATAGGATTGGTTGTTTTATGTTTGGGTAATAATTCTATATCATTTATTATATATTGGAGATAAAGTTTATATGCCAATTTTTTTAAGTGAAGAATAAATAAGGTATTAATCAACTTTCAATTATAATATTAATACGATTTTTTTCTATGTAATATATAAAATAAATACGCAATATTATCGATTTTTAAAGTTTAACATAATAAATAAGAGTTGGCAAAATACATAACCTTTATATATCTTAATTTTTTAAAAATATATGTACATTATTTAATTAAACCTAATATGTTGGGATTGTTGGTGTATGTTAATTTCTTTAATATATGATATCGCGTCTCTGGAACATCTTGACTCCCTCCTAAATTCTTGCTGAAATGGAGGTAAGAGACGTTACTTTTAACAGTTTTTGCGCTTTCAAAGGCCGCCTGAAACAAATTTTCGGGGAAGATGTTTCTTTGGTGAATATAGATGTAATATAAACAAATACTTTTTTTTTTGAAATATTAAATCCATATATTATGATTTATTTGATCTGTAATATTGAATAAAACGAATTTAGGCTAATACAACTGATATGCTGTGCTTAATTTTATTTTCAGCCTGTATAAAATGATTAATTTAAAAAACGATAGTACATAATGTATAAGATATGAACAGGAACAGATATAAGTCCCCCCCCCCCCCTCCACACCTAGTCAATGACAAGAACTTTAATAATATAAGCTGACAAGGACCCCAAGAATGCCTACATTTTAAACGATAAAGTAGTTCTAAAATCTTTTAGCAGACTAGATGAAATTATTGTTATCTAAAATATTTTTATAGGTATTTTACCTTATTAGATCCAAGATGGCATCGGTTGTACCAACTCGTTCATGTTGATTTTCCACATACTCATATTGCTCTGATACTGATTGTAAATGATCAGATTTCAAGTAAAACTTTCCGGGTTTAATAGTCACAGCCAATGTAATCCCTAATATCACTGCTATGATTGTGGTGCACATAAAATAAGCCACCGTTCTAATCCCTATTTTGTCAAAAGATTTGCTCTCCATTTGAGATATGCCTTTTAATTTTGAGAAAAATAGGGCTGTATTAAAATTAAATCAGCGTGACCCTACGGATACAAGGAAAAAACGTTTAAAATAGATTTTATGAAATTTTAAAATTTAAGCAATAGATAACTTCCAAAGATATTATAAATACAGTGACCTTTCGGACCTATTTTCTTTTTCGAATTGATCCTTAAAACAATTTTAAATGTATATATGACACGCTTTAAGGTAAAAGACGAAAAAAAATGAGTTGTAAAATAAATATATATGATTTATAAAAGATAGTATGTTTGTTTACCTGATATTACGCTGGATATCAGAAGCGGGACTATCAGCATTTTTAGAAGATTCATGAATACATCTCCGGGAAACTGTATGAGCTCAATTTTATCTGCCGACAAATTGAGACCTCTCAGCAAAAACCCTATTCCGGTTCCAAATACTACACCGATAAACGTCAATAATAACAGTAGATTATCTTTAAGTCTTTTCAGCCACTTTATAAAATAATATTAAATTATTTTTTTTGAAAAAATTTATCAGGGGGGAAAAAAGAATAAAAAAAAATTATTCGAAAGAAAATTGTATAATAATGTTTTATATAAAACTGACTAATAACAATAAGTGAATTTTTTTTTATATATAAAAGACAAATTAAATTAATACCCCCTACCCCTAATTGCCAAGTACAAAATTTACAAAAATTAAGTCTGTAATATTTATTTCATAATTTTTAATATTAAACGATATAAAGAAAAATTGTCCGTTTGTAAAATTAAAACTATATTCTTTATGTCCCACTGGGTTAAAGTATAAATTTTTTTAAAAAATATGCATATAAAATGAAAAATCTCTAAATAAAAGGGAGAAAGAGGTTAATTATAATAATACTTTTTCCTTTACATTCCTTTCGGCGGCGAATGAACGATTTTTAGCATTATTCACATCCACATTTATGATATTATCCTCTTTCACTAACAGTCGCCTTTCTGCGTCGCTTTTATTGAGAGAGTTGTTGGGACTATCGGAAGAATTCATTATGACCGCACAGTGTGAGGTTAAAATTTTATGAATTGCGAAAGTGGGTTCGATTGATCATTTTATTAAATACCTCTTTGTCACGAGAAAAGATAAATTTATGCGAAGATTAAATCAATCATGAAGAATTCATGTTTGCTTTATATAATAATTTAATCTAGGCGAATTTTTATAAAAAAATATCAATCTCCAAATTTCCCTATTCCATTCACAAATTTTTTTTAAAAATTTTGTAAAGTTTTATTGTTACCTCTTTTTTAGTCCATCCAAAATATCAATATATTTTCCTATCTTTTGAACTTAAACTAACATTTAGTCGCGATATAAATGTAATTTATTTAATGTAATAATATAAAAATAACCGTTTAGTAAAAATTTGGTTTATTATGGTTAGAAGGTAATAAGAATTTTTTTTTTAAATCATGCGTAAAATTTATATTGTTTATCGACAGATATTAATCTATTTTTTTTTATAAAGATATTAGAAAATTAAGATGCAATATATTCATTATCTTTCAAAGTTGGTAAGAAATTTTTTTTAGAAAGAGGATATAGGTTGTGAGAAAGAATTATATCATCTCAGGGTTAGCCATAAAAATTATAAATTTAAAATGAATTAATTTAAAATATAAATATGATTTGTTATTTTCAATTTAAGTCATTAAAAAACAGAAATATTTTGCAGTTGCAAAATGTATAACATTTTTTTTATTATATAAAATAAATAATTTTCAAGGTAAATTCGTTTCCCAAATTAAATTTATGAACTCGCTGTATTAAAATATTGAATTTACCTGAAAATAGATAAATTATTAACTATATAATATAATTAAAATATTAAACTGTGGCGAAGATTGAAATAAACAAAATCCTTAATGTTATATTGGGAGAAAAAAAAATCGATTTTAGATTTTTTGGCATAGGGCAGTGACGTATCCAGGATTTGAACAAAAAATGATTTAAACTACCATTTAATTAAATTTTCTAGATGTATGATGAGAGAATGACATGTTTATATGAATGAGTGGCTCAGTATGAAAATGAAGGTGAACCTACTTAAGATACCAAAGGAAATCACTTACCAATAATTTTACGTGTTGGTGTGGTGAGAATAAGAAAAAAAGAAATAAAGATGATGTTTAACGATTATATAATGTAATAAATAAAGCCTTTCATATTTTTTTTTTAGCTTCGGGATTCGTTTTTTTCCCACAAATAATCCCGTTATATTTGTATTATCTAAAAATAAATTGCCATATCCTCCATTTTCCTCAAATATATATTTTTTATAATTGGTTTGTGTCCAAAAAAAACATTAGGTCAGAAACATTATAAATGACCTTTCTATTTTTTTAAGTACCGGAGTTATTCTTATAATTTTCTGAAAAATCAATGATCATTAATCATTTTGCTTAAAAAAATAATTTAATTTTCTAAAGGGTCATATAAAAGTATAGAAAAAATTATGCATTGACATTTAAAATAATTAACAATATGAATAAGTGTAATGGAGTGCAAAACCAATCTATGGCCAGGCCAGGTTAATAATACGGCTAACCTTAATAATAAAATTATTTTTGGATCAAAAATTAATTTATTCGATTTTTAATGAAATAATTTATTTGCTCTATCCCAAGATAAGGTTTTATAAAAATCTTGTCGAATTTATGAAGAACTGGTAAATATACGCCCCTGTTCAGGTTGCAGCTAAAAAAAAAGAGCGGATCCCTTGTTCTGTTGAAAATTATCTATTTCTAGTTATCAATTATTAATTAAGATTTTATTAGCAAAAATTTGCGAGCGAAAAATCATTTTATTAACATTTGGCCACACGGAGTGACTAATCACCTAAGCTAAGCGAGTCTGGGAAGAGGTATTCACACTTAGGTGTGTAACCTTGAGAGAGAAAGAAGTGTAGGAAACATTTCTATATTTACTTTATAACCCTAAAATATTCTCACTCTAAATCAACTATTTGATTATTTCTTGCAAATTTGATTCATTTATAATTTATATGAAAAAAAAAATATGGAAAAACTAATATACTAATATTAAATTAAGTTCAAATGTTCATAACAAAATTATCTGAAATTCATAGGGTAGATATTCCAAACATGATTGTATACATTTCCGGTCAAAATCTTAAATTTATAAAAACGCACTCAAATAATGATTTAAAGTTGAAAAAACAACACATTGCCCGAATCAATACATTGGTGCTAACATATACATATAATTTTATTATTAATAAATATTTCAAATATTTACTAAAATTTATGATTCTCGAAAATTTACAAATAATACTAATAATTCGTATGAATTTATTATTTGTCAATAATTAAATAGTATTGTTGAAAATTAATTATAGGGTATCGCCATAAGGAAAATAAAAATATTTGATATTTTTAAATATTTAAATAAATTTTCATAATTTTATATGGGAATTTCCATTTCCATCTCTTGTTTCTTTATTAGATTCTACAAACGGTGTCTCTTTACTTAATTTTGGAAATGGTATCGAATTTTTTGGGGCGACATAAAAATATTACAATGCTATCACCACTATATTATCACTACAAATAAATTATCTAAAGATATTATTTAAAATAAATTAAATTCATCTTAGAATTTCAAGATACATTAGTTATTTTTCCTATATCCTTATCAAAATTATTGTATTGATAACCAAATATATATTTTTATCCCAAATTCTGAATGTAAAGGATTGGAGTAATGGAAAATTAATATATTATTTGGGATTATTATTATTAATCACGTAATAGAATATGTTCATAATATTTGAAATCGTTTTTCCAAGGGATAACGCGATGTTGCTTTATATCCAAAAATATAATTTGGAATATATTAAAATCATATAGGATATTATTCGAGTATTCGATTCAAAAATATGATAATTTGTGGTGTTATATACATCGTATTTGTAAATATGGCAACTCAAATGGCGTCCTCTTAAACAAAAAGTCCTCATTTCCTTATTTCTATTCGTGAGACGAATCCATCCTATGGATAAAAACACCGCAATTCCAATGGGAAGTTCGTAACGGACGATGCGGCTTTCTCCCATGTTCAGAGAACCGAATTCCTTAATTCTTATTACCGGGGTTTGAGAGATCTGAGTAGTCATTTAAATGATACGAGTGGAATTTCCTATCAGAAGACATGAAAGATCTAGCTAAACTTCGTTAATCCCCGTATGGGTCACTGGTTATATATGTGAGACAATGATGTTGTAAATTGTAAAATTAAAAATTGTAAAACTTATTTTAACTATTTTATTATCCTTTCTTTTTTCATCCACAAAATTATATATATATATATTTTAAAAGTTAATTGAACAACTTAAATATAAAAATAAATAATATTCAAATTTAAATCAATCAACATATAAAATAAATAATATTCAAATTTAAATCAATCAACATTCCCCCTCTTCTACAAACAACGAAGCTTCTTCTCAGCAGTCATCGAGAGCTTGTTGTCCTAGAAGTTTTTCCTGTTTCGATTGTACTCGGTTTAATCTTGGTTAGCGCATAAGTCTCAAATGTTCTCGTAGGCTTGATTCTATCACGTAGGTTTGATAAAATCGTTTATTAGAGTTGCGTGAGTTTGTACGTTTATTGTAGACTTGAATCAATTGCGTAGGTTTGATAAAATCGTTGAACGTTATCGTTGGTTTGATATCCTTATCGTATGTTGTTCACATTTCTCAAAATTGTTATTATCATGTTTCATAATTAATCCAGTTGAATATTGGAATTTGGAATAAATCGGAATATGTAATTTGGAATAGTTGATCAAATAAAATGCACGAATAAAATTTTGAATTTCGGAACAATATGTAATAAGGAATGATAATTTAAGGAATAAGGAATAAAATCCAAAATAAGGAATGATAAATCATGATGATTATTATATTATTTTTTAGGTGTTAAGTTAATCATAGCGTTTTATAGTTTTATGCGTTTTATATTTTTAGCGTTTTATATTTTTTGCGTTTTATATTTAAATTTTAAGCTCGTAATCTTTTAAATAATCAAGTTTATTTTTAATTCTTATTGGTCTAGTAATTGGTATCTTAATCTCATTCTTTGTGTCCACACTTCCCCCCTTAGAGGAATTTTTAGGGTCAATTTCATAAAATTTTAAACTATTGTAACATTCTCTTTTCCTTAACTGATCAATATGCCTACTTACTATCCCTTTATCAGTATAAACTTGAAACATGGTGTTACTCTCTTTAAGCTTGATGCTGCCTTTGCACCACGTATCATCACCCTGTTTCTTATACCAAACATAGTCTCCTCTATTAAAAGTTCGATTTCGTGGTAACGACATGAAGACTTCACCAACTTTGTCCTCCAAAGGTTTTAATAAATCCCACTTTATTCTAATGTCGCGGTTAAACATTCTTTTGGACGGTGTCTCTCCCGTAGTGTCATTCGGCGTGTTTCTATAGTTGGACAAAAATCTGTCCAGCGCAGTTTCTAAGCCAATCTTTATGTTTCTTTTCATATGAGCTTTAAATGTTCTCACCATACGTTCAGCTTGTCCATTAGATTGCTGATGGTAGGCCGACGTTAGTACATGTTTTATACCATAATTGCTACAAAATTTTTCAAAATCTTTGCTCGTGAAATTGGTACCATTATCTGTAACAATGGTTTCAGGTATACCAAATAGTGAAATAGTTTTATAAATTTCCTTTAACGTGAATTCAGTCGTAATTCTCTTTACCGGAACTATAACCGGAAATTTACTGTAAGCATCAACGATTATTAACCAATTCTTTGTAAAAAACGGACCCGCATAATCTATGTGTATCCTTTCAAATGGTTTAGTTGCTGCTACCCATGGATTTTGTATTTTCTTTGGATTGTCATGATAAATATTACAATCATCGCAACTTTTGACTTCCAAATCAATGTCGTTGACCATACCAGACCACCACATACGATCTTTGGCTAAGGATTTAATTTTACCTGCTCCCAAATGACCTTCGTGTAACGCCTTCAGTATGTTCTTTCTCAAACTTGACGGAATTATTATTTTGTCGCTTTTGTACAGACAATCTTTAATGATACTTAGTTCTTGTTCAATATTTTCATAAATTTTATTTTGGATAGGCACATTATTTCTTATGTCACTCATAACTTGAGATAATTCAAAATCTTTGGATGTTTCATCACGTATTCGGTCAAAACTAAGAGGTATATCGCCAAAGTCATTTATAATCGCGATATCATCAATAACGTCATCATCAATTACTTGTGGTAGTCTTGAGAGGCAATCGGGAACAACATTGTATTTACCAGCTTTATATCTGATGTTAAAGTCGTAACCCCCCAAAATTATACTCCACTTCTGTAACCTTAATGACATGGTGCTATTATCTTTGAGCCCTTTGGTGAAAATATGGATTAGCGGCTTGTGATCCGTTA